AAATTGTTTGTACGTTTTTTTGTATACTGATTTTTTTGTAAAACACCTTACTTACTGTAAAACGTTATTTGTTTTTCTTGGTTAAACATTTTTGAATGAAAATAAATACGTTGTTTGGTATTGTTTTCGAATCTTTTTTAATTTATAATAGTTAATTATTGAAATAATAACCCAAAACCACAAAAAACAAATGTTTAATCGCCAACTTTTTTCTCTCTCGACTTTTTTACTCTGAAATATGGATTGTTTTTAAAAAATCTTAAATCTTCAATAACTTTTCAACCTTTGAATATAGGGTATGGTATTATATACTAATTTCGATAGCAAAGGGGCTATACTATCACCTCCTAAAATGTTTTACACCTATTTACCTGTCACCCTGTATAGCGAAACAGCCTTAGAGTCCTGAAAGCTTTTGGGATTGGACTTTGGATTATACAGATTTTCAAGCATTTCGCTAATCTTTTCTTCTATCTTGCCCTTTTAATATTGAACTTTGTTTTCGGTCTTGGTTCTTCAACCAAACTGTCACAAAACAATCACCATAACTGGTCCGATCTTTTTGTTTTTAAATTGATCACCTACTTAGTAACGATAGGCAAGCTTTTATACTTTGGGTAGCAATTTCGTCATGTTTTAGTCAATTTATACAAAACAACCATAAATTACACAAATACATTGAATGAATCCGTCTATCCACTGGTGAAAACCGTATGTAAATCTGTTAGTTTGTTTTTGAGTGTATGGTGTTCAAATAAATGCGATGAGAAACTTTATAATACGAGTATGTAATGCTTTTAGTTGCACTGGGCGCATGGTGGGTTGAAATATTTTTATATAAGTTAATCTATGCGTAAAGTATGCCTAATACGTACGTAGAGTTACCAAGGCTAGACGCGTATAAATATGCTAACAGCAAAAAACTGAGATCTGATCTACCCAAACCCTCAATATTTAACTCAAAAATTATTCTCAATATGGTTAGGAGACTCTGAAAAGTCGAGAAACAAATTTTGAGCAATTTTTATTTTATTCTCATTGCTTTGAATTATTTCGCGATAACAAAACTTCGTCCCCAGTGCCGATGAAAGTAAAAATAACCAAATGTTAAAGTATTTGCTCCTAGTAATCAATATCTATGAAAAAATAAATTGCTCAACAAATTTCTACCTGTACTATTTATCTGATGACATGTGACGCAACCCCGATAGTAAAGCGAATATTCCGTGTGTTTTAAATTTGATCCTCACCATATGGATCTTGGAAACAGTAAGCGTTACGAAGTCATTTAAGTGGAGACAAAGCTTCGTGCTTAGGTAACTAACAAAATGCAGCTTCAGCAACAAATTTTTTTCTCAAGGACACCATATTGGTTGTTTTACAGAGCTGAATTGAGTTTTTAATTATGATTCTAATAATATATATATGTCATAATTGATAGTGCCAAACGTTATTAAATAAAAAAAAACACAATTTCCCAGGTTGGCCTTGAAATTATCAGATAGTCATTTGATTCATATACCAGATTTATCGCCCAATCATTTTTATTTTTTACTGAGTCTATTTGAGATGGAATTTTAAAATAGATTGCATGTTGTTGATGCCAATTGTTTTCGCTACAAAATGGCGTCGTCGAATTTTTAATTCGAGGTATCTTCTTTCGCCTTCCAGCACCATTTTTGTTTTTTATGCGGACGCCATATTGGAATTTTGTACATTTAAATGAAGTCCTCAGTCCTAAGGTCAGTGATGTATTTCTTTAGTTGGCAATGATTTTGTTGTTCGAATGGAAATTATAAGAAAATAAAATGGTATGGTCAATGATTTACCTCTGCTTATCACTGGACAACAAATTTTAGTTTTTTAATTGTATCTTGTGGGAAAAGTGCACTTCTTTGTTAATTTTGGGGCGCTGAATCCAAAAATGACAATGAAATAAAAAAATTAGTTGCGGTTTAGAAAAAAAACTTTTTATTTTTAAGGATATATTAAAAAAAGTAACAAGATTCATATACTTATAAGAATCACTATATGCGCTGTCTTTTTGCTGTTCTTTTATGGATCGTTTCTGGAGCATCTCTACCAAGAGTCCAACAGTAGTCTTCAAGCATGGAAGGATTCCACTTTCCCTGGTACCTTTTTTCCATTGTTGAAATATCCTGATGAAAACGTTCGCCGTGCTCATCACTTACGGCTCCGCAATTGTCAGGAAAAAAGTCCAGGTGTGAGTGTAGGAAATGTATCTTAAGAGACATATTACAGCCCATCTTTTGATACGATGACAGCATATTTTTGACAAGGATTTTATAGTTGTCAGCTTTTCTATTTCCCAAGAAATTAGTGACCACCAGACGGAAATCATTCCAAGCAGTTTTTTCAATACCTGTTAAAGTGTTTTCAAACTGTGTATCTTTCAAAATATTTCGAGTCTGTGGCCCAATAAAAATACCTTCTTTAACCTTTGCCTCACTTAGTCTTGGAAATTTCTGACGCAGGTATTGAAAAGCTGACCCATCTCTATCTAATGTCTTGACAAAGTTTTTCGTTAGGCCCAACATGATATGCAGTGGTGGTAATAACATTTTTTTCGAATCTACTAATGGCATATGCTATACATTTTTTTGACCTGACTCTAGGAATTGACGAACAGGGCAGTTTTGTCTGGTGTAATGAAGTGCCTTTGCCCGACTGTCCCATTCACACAAAAAACAGCAAAACTTTGTGTAGCCTAGCTGCAGCCCAAGTAAAAGTGCAACAACTTTCAAATCGCCACAAATATGCCATTGGTGCTCATCGCATTTTATGCATGTCAATAGGTACTTCATATTGTCATATGATTCTTTCATGTGAACTGCATACCCTACAGGAAGAGATGGTAAAATATTTCCAATATGCAATAACACTGCCTTTAAACTCAATGTTGAACTGTCTATAAACAATCTCCATTCTTCTGGGTTATAGTTTATATTTAAAGCCGCCAGTAAGCCGTTAATGTTACTGCAGAAAACCAAGTTATTCTCCATATTGAAAAATGGTTCTAAGTCTTTATGGCGTTTACGAAAAATACATACCGAAACATCGTCTTCTAACAAGTTCCACTGCTGCAGTCTTGATCCAAATAACTCTGCCTTACATTTTGGAAGTTCTAAATCTCTTACAAGATCATTTAATTCTGACTGTGTTATTTTGTGCGGTTGGTGGCATGACGTGCTCGGTATAAAATCAGGATCTCCTGACGTTGATAGCATATCTTCTTCCTGACGAATCACTCGATCGCCATGATCTGATTCGTTTTCTGATTCGCAAGTGTAGGATTCTGGGGGTTTTGGAATAGGATTTTCGTCACTGTGAGGCATAGGTCTCATCGCAGATGGTATGTTTGGGTAGTTAATAACCGATTTTTTTTCTTGGACATACCTGTGGCTTGTCCAACACAAGGTACCATGCAAAAGTAACAATCATTAATATGATTTGTAGGCTCTCTCCAAACCATTGGGACAGCAAAGCGCATAGACCGTTTTTTGCCATTTAACCAGCTCCTCAGACTTGAAGCACATGTATTACAGCAGATGTGGGGTGCCCACTGTTTGTCTTTATCACCTAGTTTACAACCGAAATAAAGCTGATATGCCTTTGTTATTAGTGGAGTAATAGACCGTCTCTGAGACGCAAAAGTCACATCACCACACACGTAACAAAACTGATCTGGATTGTTTACACACTTTCGAGACATCTTGCATGAACGCTGTCAGCCAACTGAGGAAAAAGTGACTAATATAATAACAATATAATGTACACGTATGTATAACGTAACACAATCATGCCGATTACATCATCTTTCCTTGCCGAATATAAAAATGTAGCACGTGCATTCTTGTGAATTACAGTATATTAACACTGTCACAGCAGGAACACATATAATTACCGTATCTCTAAAACTTGAACTAATATTGAAAAAATAAGTTTCATTCCGGTTTTAGCACATTAAAAATAGTAATATTTTGTTGATTTTATTTAGGATATTTTTTGGCTGTTGATCAGTGTTATTTACGATTATTGCTATTCCCATCAATAAAATGTTTATTTTTTGTCCAGGTTCCACCATTTCCTATTTCCTCACTCATGGCCAACTTAGGAAATACATCGCTAAATTTAGGACTAAAAACTCCTTTTAAATGTACAAAACTCCAATACAGTGTCCATACAAAAAAACAAAGTTTGCGATGGAAGTAGAAAGAAGAACCCTCGAATTGTAAATTTGACTACACCATCTTTTAGAGGAGAAAAAGTAGCAGCAGCTAAAAGCAATTTGAATTGAAATAAAGTCAGAAAAAAATTAAACTGATTTTGCGTAAACTTGGTATATGAAACAATTGACTATCTGATAATTCCAAAACCTACCTAGTAAAATCAGTTTTTCAGAAATAACTGAGATTTGGAAATCTCAATGATTGACATACATATTTTGAAATTTTTGTAATCAGAATTAAAAACTCTATTCATCTATGCAAACATGCAATACAGCGACTATAAGAAAAAATAAATTTGATGATGGAGGACAACAGACGAAACGTCAAACTGAAATTGTAACTATTCCATCTTGTAGAGGAGAAAAGGTGGTAATGCTAATCAATTAATTTTGAAATCCCACTAGAAAATAATGTGAGGAAAGAAATTGAAACTATTTTGGGAAAATTCGGGTTTTTCGTCTCTCTTCGGAAGTACTTTGAATATTTTGAGACGCATTTTGTTTATGCAAATTTTCCCCCATTTAAGCGACTTCGTATTTCTTACCGTTTACGAGATCCCAATTGTGAGGGTCGAATTTGCAACACCCTGTATACGATATCATTCTGAAAGTCTTTTTACTTCTGTAGATAGCTTATACCAATCCTGGACTGATGAACCTGGTTTACACAGATTATCGCTGATGAAGACCAAAAATCACAGAAACATTTGATTGCAAATCGTATTGAATGACTTTAATGATTCCTTCTCACGTTTGGGTTGGAATGGCCAGTGCTTCTGCAGCTGCCAGCTGACACAGATCCATCCATTGCGATGACGGGAACATATCCAAACCGTCTTCTGTTGGGACAATTTGGCAGCATTGTACCTCCATGTGGAAATGGTACTGCCAACCCACGTAAAACTCTCCCTTGATCACTTTCTGTATGTCATTCCCTGGAATAAACGTTATCTTATCAGTACGTAATATAGACAGCGCTTTCCAAAAACTCTGACTGCTAAGCGGAGCATTTTTTTCAATGGAATGAGGTGACATTTGACACGCCACTTTGAATCTCCTTTATAGGCGTGAAAGACAAAATCACTATCTATATAGATCGTAATTATCAAACACGGATCAAAAACACATCTGCAACTATACCCAGATTGAATAAAAGTTTAAGGCTCGGTTTTCAATTTCTGGTTAATTTTCAAGTGAGGTTTCTATGACCTCAAAGTTAACTATCGGTTGTCTGTGAATTCGTTTTTCATGTTCTGTTTAACAATCCATAAACCGTTGATATGGCAATGCTACTTTTATGCGTGAATTAACGTGTTTTATGCGTCTCGCGACGTTCAGTATTTCTGTCTTGTATCATTAATGGCAACTTATGTCACTGACAAGCAAGTTAGGTTAGACATTGATCATAATTTTATAGTTATATCATAAATCGTTCTCAGATTGAAGTTAGCTACCGCTCTAGGACATACTTGACTTTGAAAAACGCTTTCTCATAGTTAAATTCTGGTTATCATTCAAGTTACAGTTACCTTGTGATTGAAAAATGGGCCTAAGTCAACAACCATTTTATTATCGAGGCCCAAAATTTTATTATATATACTTGACTTTGAAAAACGCTTTCTCATAGTCAACTTCTGGTTATCAGTCAAGTTACAGTTAACTAGTGATTGAAAAATGGGCCTAAGTGTTCAATCATTTTATTATGGAGGCCCAAAATTTTATTATATATACTTGACTCTGAAAAACGCTTTCTCATAGTTAACTTCTGGTTATCAGTCAAGTTGCAGTTAACTTGTGATTGAAAAAATGGGCCTAAGTCAGCAATCATTTTATTATCGAGGCCCAACATTTTATGATATATACTTGACTTTGAAAAACGCTTTCTCATAGTTAACTTCTGGTTATAAGTCAAGTTGCAGTTAACTTGTGATTGAGAAATGGGCCTAAGTCAACAATCATTTTATTATCGAGGCCCAAAATTTTATTATACAAGTATATACTTGACTCTGAAAAACGCTTTCTCATAGTTAACTTCTGGTTATCAGTCAAGTTAAAGTTAACTTGTGATTGAAAAATGGGCCTAAGTCAACAATCATTTTATTATCGAGGCCCAAAGTTTTATTATAGTCGTATTTACTTGACTTTGCAAAACGCGTTCTCATATTTAACTTCTGGTTATCAGTCAAGTTAAAGTTCACTTATGATTGAAAAATGGGCCTAAGTCAACAATCATTTTATTATCGAGGCCCAACATTTTATTATATATACTTGACTCTGAAAAACGCTTTCTCATAGTTAACTTCTGGTTATCAGTCAAGTTACAGTTAACTTGTGATTGAAAAATGGGCCTAAGTCAACAATCATTTTATTATCGAGGCCCAAAGTTTTATTATAGTCGTATTTATTTGACTTTGCAAAACGCGTTCTCATAGTTAACTTCTGGTTATAAGTCAAGTTGCAGTTAACTTGTGATTGAAGAATGGGCCTAAGTCAACTATCATTTTATTACATATTCTTGACCTTGAAAAACGCTTTCTCATAATTAACTTCTGGTTATAAGTCAAGTTGCAGTTAACTTGTGATTGAAAAATGGGCCTAAGTCAACAATCATTTTATTATCGAGGCCCAAAATTTTATTATATATACTTGACTCTGAAAAACGCTTTCTCATAGTAAACTTCTGGTTATCAGTCAAGTTACAGTTAACTTGTGATTGAAAAATGGGCCTAAGTCAACAATCATTTTATTATCGAGGCCCAAAGTTTTATTATATATACTTGACTTTGAAAAAACGCTTTCTCATAGTTAACTTCTGGTTATCAGTCAAGTTGCAGTTAACTTGTGATTGAAAAATGGGCCAAAGTCAACAATCATTTTATTATCGAGGCCCAAAGTTTTATTATATATACTTGACTTTGAAAAAACGCTTTCTCATAGTTAACTTCTGGTTATCAGTCAAGTTGCAGTTAACTTGTGATTGAAAAATGGGCCTAAGTCAACAATCATTTTATTATCGAGGCCCAAAATTTTATTATACATACTTGACCTTGAAAAACGCTTTCTCATAATTAACTTCTGGTTATCAGTCAAGTTGCAGTTAACTTATGATTGAGAAATGGGCCTAAGTCAACAATCATTTTATTATCGAGGCCCAAAGTTTTATTATATATACTTGACTTTGAAAAAACGCTTTCTCATAGTTAACTTCTGGTTATCAGTCAAGTTGCAGTTAACTTGTGATTGAAAAATCGGCCAAAGTCAACAATCATTTTATTATCGAGGCCCAAAGTTTTATTATATATACTTGACTTTGAAAAAACGCTTTCTCATAGTTAACTTCTGGTTATCAGTCAAGTTGCAGTTAACTTGTGATTGAAAAATGGGCCTAAGTCAACAATCATTTTATTATCGAGGCCCAAAATTTTATTATACATACTTGACCTTGAAAAACGCTTTCTCATAATTAACTTCTGGTTATCAATCAAGTTGCAGTTAACTTGTGATTGAGAAATGGGCCTAAGTCAACAATCATTTTATTATCGAGGCCCAAAATTTTATTATATATACTTGACTTTGAAAAACGCTTTCTCATAGTTAACTTCTGGTTATCAGTCAAGTTACAGTTAACCTGTGATTGAAAAATGGGCCTAAGTCAACAATCATTTTATTATCGAGGCCCAAAATTTTATTATATATACTTGACTTTGAAAACGCTTTCTCATAGTTAACTTCTGGTTATCAGTCAAGTTGCAGTTAACTTGTGATTGAAGAACGGGCCTAAGTCAACAATCATTTTATTATATATTCTTGACCTTGGAAAACGCTTTCTCATAATTGACTTTTGGTTATCAGTCAAGTTGCAGTTAACTTGTGATTGAGAAATGGGCCTAAGCCAACAATCATTCTATTATCGAGGCCCAAAATTTTATTATATATACAGGGTGATACTTAAGTATGTGGCCAAACTTTCTTTGATTAATTTCATATAAACATAGGTACAGAAATGCTGCATTTTCAAGATACAACGTATCAAACTTTTTTAAAAAATCGTTTTTTTGGCCATAAATTTTCAATCCAATATCTTGGTTCTCGCAGACGTTCAAGGATTCTAAATTAAAAAGAGACTACAATTATAAAGTTTAAGATTACTGGAAGTGAAAATGATTGGCTAGAATACACAAGATCAAGAAACCAATCTGTAGCACCTCTAAGAGATGAAAAGAAAAAATGTTACAATGCCAAAATTGATGAGAGTAAAAATAATAGCAACAGATGTGAAAAACGTTGAAAAACATTGTTTCTCCTATTAAAAAAATACATTATCTAAAATGAAATTCGATGATGTGGCAGTAATAAATGAAGAAATAATAGCAGATCGAATGAATACATATTTCATAGAAAGTGTCAACGACATTGTAAGATCAATTATTGGCGAGGATCCTAACTAATGTGCCATTAGCTCAGATTATAATCCATCATTCAGTGAGTTTAGAACAATTAATCGTCTCAAGAAGATTATATCTAAAATTAAATCAAATCAAAATAAGAGTGAGAGTATGTCTAAAACTGTGCCTAATGAATGTTTTGATATTATTGGAGCAAGAATACTAACCCTGATAAATTACTGTTTAAAATATGGCGAATTTCCAACAAAACTGAAGTGTTCTACCACAACTCCTGTTTCTAAAGTTAAGAATTCTGAGTTGTACACCAATATGCGGCCAATAAATGTTCTCCCAAATGTTGAAAAAGGATTTGAACAAATTATTTACGATCAGATCAACGAATGTATTGAGGAAAATAACATTTTAACCAAATTTTAAGTTGGATTCAGGAAGAAACACTCAACTGAAACTGCAACACAAATGCTTTAAGAGGACTGGAGGAGATGTATGGACAGTAGGAAACATACAGTAACAGTTTCTTAGGACTTCAAAAGGGCGTTTGAGACTACACGTATGGACAGGAATACATAACTTACAAAATTGCATCACTACGGATTTATCTATATTCAAAATTCTACAAAACCATTTTAATCGACAAAAGTCAAAAAACCAAAGTTGGATCTACATTATCAAGATCAACAAAAATTTCTGTTGGTATATCACGAGAAAGTAAGCTAGGTCCATTACTATTTATTTTTTATATTAATGACACTTGTACTATTTTAGATTATTGTCAAATTCAAATACTTGCAGATAATACATTAATATACATATCAGATGAAAACATAGACACCGCTTAAAAAATGCTAAACTCTGACTTCGCAAAAATCATAAATTGGTTAAATGTAAATGAACTAAAATTGAATACTTCTAAAACAAAATGTATCTAATAGGGAAATACTATTACAGTTAGGATAAATGGTGTAATAACTGGAAATGTTGAATCAATTAAATATTTAGGTATATAATTGATAGTAAACTAAAGTTTGAGGATCACTATCAATACATTTTTCAAAAATTGCTAAAAAAATACTTTTCTAAGGCTTCGCCCAGTCTTAGTAAATATTAAAAAAAAATAGTTCATAATAGAATTACTCTACCGCAACTATCTTGTTCACAGTCAACGAAGCTGTATTCTCAAAATGTCCTGCAAAATGAAGCTATGAGAATAATATTGAATAATGATAAGTACACCAAGATAAAAATCTGTGTTACAAGAATTGCAGTAGTTGAAAATAAAAAATTTCGTATATTTGGTTCTTATTTTTATATTTAAAATAAGAAATCATCGTTTTCCACAATATTTAGAGCACAATTAAATAATGAATTATTATGCAAGAGGCAATACAGATTATCATTTACAAAATTGAAATAGTAATATAACTAGCAAATCAATATTTGAGAAAGGATTACTTGAATTTAGTAAACCAAATAATGATATAAAGTCTACCTGTAATTTAAAGATGATTAAAAGAAAATTAAAGGAATATTTCATGGACAGTGAAAATTCTTAGAGACGCAAATTTTGTTTTTTTTAAATATCTTTATGTTATGTAATTGCTTAGTTTTTTAGAAGAATGTAATCATGCTAAATGAATCTTAAACAAACAAACTGTTATGGTATTTACTAGCAACAGTAAAATGCTTTCAGTCCGATGAACGTACCTTTTGATCTGGGTACAATATTCGTAATGTTTCTAATCCTGTCCCTAGCATTCGCTTCTACCACTTGCCTCACATTGAGAAACGGTGCCGCTGTGGGAGCGGTATATTCAACCCTCACCATTTCAGCTGCTTTCAAAGCGGTATCATGGCTGTCAGCCACAATTAACCCAATAGGTTGGTAGTAGTACTGAACGCGACCACTGCAGAAGAGCTCCTCACGCACAGGAAAGGTCCCCATCATTCTTGGCATGAAAGTGTTGTTTCCTGGTATATCTTTGGCGGTGTAGAAGGCTATCACTCCAGGGACTTTCTGGAAGATGATATACAATGGAAAATATATAAAACAAAGACACGCTGAGATTTACTTCAAATCTGAGAGGAGAGATCAGGTATAGTAGTAATTTCGATCAATATATTATTTCATCGTACGCCAATGATCCGGGTATTATCGTGGTGTGTATATATTACATATAAATCAATCGCTGGATGGAGTGAATAAAAACACGAAATTAGAGGCATAACGGCCACCATAAGGAGCCAGCGCATAGGCCACTCAGACGGGCCCTTGTGCACCTCCACATTTCTTAGACCTCAAGCCTCGCTATTCTAGTGAAGCTGAGCATGGCCTTGAGCCCAAACTACTGAATGTTCTGGGGGTCTAAAGTGATGGGCCCCAGTATAGTCTGCCAATAGTAGCTAAGATCCTCGCAGCGACATAGAACGTGCGCGGAGGTCTCTTCTTAGCGGCATCGATAGAACTGTGCGAGGTAAAGGGAACTAACCCGGCGTTCTCAGAGACTGTAACACATGAGGAGACGCTGTAGCAGACCGCAGGTCACGCACAACACATGGCCTTACCGAGACGCTGATGAGTCGGGCCACGCAGAGGTTAGGGTTTAGTGGGTATTAGGTGGTCTCCTCAAGACAACCTGGAGACGCCTAAGCTCGGGCTATGGTATGGTGCATAAACGCATTCCCTTCTCACAAAAAAAAAAACAAGGGATCCTCAGCCACCCCTATCACGTGCAGGAGGCGCCTTAATGTTTTATGGCCAGACAATTGTCCCAGCAGCAACCTTAGGTTGGCTCTATCCAAAGATAAGCAGAAACGACTGTCCTTAGCGTTGGGCCCTGCAATGAGTTCCCGTGCCTGACGTAGATGTCTGGAGATGCTTCTCTGTCTTGCAATCCACTTCTCTGTTTTCCTCCTAACTCTTAGCGCGGGCATCCCTAAAGCTGGCTCAGGACCAACGAGCTTGCTGGCGGATCCTATCTTCGCCAGAGCATCCGCCATCTCATTGCCCTCTATCCCAGCGTGCCCCGATACCCACAATAACGATGCCGGTTACCTCGCTGCTAGACAATCCAGAGCCTCCCTGCATTGCAACACAAGGCTCGAAGTAATCTTACAGGCACTTAGTGCCTTCATTGCAGCATGGCTCTCGGAGAGGATTGTTATCCTTCTCCTAGGCCCACCCCTCTTCAAAATTAGGGATGCACAAGCCAGAATCGCAATGATTTCCGCTTGGAAAATCATGGTGTATCCACCAAGAGGCAGAGATAGCCTAGTCCTAGGTCCAGAGACCCTGGCGCCAGAGCCCTCTTTGGTGACCGAGCCGTCCGTGTGGCCCCCTGCCCGCTCACTCCGGTTGTCGGCGTCCCACTCTTCCCTCGTTGGATACTCCACATTAAACTTGCGGTTGAAGCGATATTTAGGGCTTAGAAGGACGGGGTCCTCCCTTTGTAGTTCGACCAGGATGGCAGTATGACCCTTGACGGGATTCATGAAGTCCCAGCTGCCCTAACTCCAGAGTCGATGTGCGACAACTCTCGCCTCTTCGCGGATCACTAGATGACACGGCGGAAGATCCAGCAGAGCTTCCATTGCACTCAGTGGCGTTGTCTGCACTGCGTTTGTAATGCTAATACAGGCCAATCGCTGACTTTTATTGAATTTGGCTTTATTCGTCTCAGTTCCAATGCAAGGCCACCAAACCAAGGAGCCGTACAAGAGAGATGGACGCACTATTGTCGTGTATAGCCAGTAAACCACGTTGGGTTTGAGCCCACACCTAACACCAACAACGCGTCTACAAGCCCACAATGAATTCCGAGCCTTGTTAACCTTAAATTCAACGTGCCCTCTCCAGTTCAGTTTACAGTCCAGGATAATTCCTAGATATTTTACTGACTGGGATAGAACTAATCTAGTCTCAAAGAAGGTCGGCAAGACAATCCCGTCAAGCCTTCTTCTCCTAGTGAATAGGATCAGCTCGGTCTTTCCAGCGTTGACCGAAAGATCCACTTCCCTACACCATGATTCCACAGCGCGCATAGCGCCTTGCCTAATCTCAGAGACTGTTCCACAAAAACGACCTCTAACTACTAGGCTTACGTCATCAGCATATGTTTGCACGTAGACATCCGCACTGCTTAGCCTAACGAGGAGTTCATTCACCACAAGGCACCACAGTATGGGGACAGAAGTCCGCCCTGTGGGCAGCCTCGAGCTACGCTGACGCTGCAGCTTACCTCAATCAGCATAGCTGTTGCTACCCGACCCTGCAGAGTGGATAGGACCCAATCTACTAGAATTGATCCAACCCCGTGCCTAACCAAGGCATGTCTGTTGGAGTCGGTTGTACTGCAATTAAATGCACCTTCAATAAGCAGAAATGTCACTTCTCGCTGATCCAGAGTCTTTTCCAGCCTGCCGACCAGATTGTGTAAGGCCAGGTCAGTCGATTTCCCAGCTTGGTATGCAAACTGATTGGAATGATTGCCACACCTCACCAGCGGCCCATCCCTCAAAAATCTGTCAACTATCCTTTTCAAAGTCTTAACCACAAAAGATGAAAGGGTTATCGGACGAAAGTCCTTCGGGCCAGTATATCTAGCTCTACACGGTTTAGAAATAAATACAACTTTAGTCTGCCGCCAGCTTCTAGGTGTGAAGTCCGTAGCCAAACGTACTCGAAACACCTTCAACAGGTAGGGAACAACCGAATCCCGCCCATGCTGTAACATGGCCGGAAAAATCTCGTCCAAAACCGGACATTTGTATGAAGCAAACGAATCGATCGCCCATGCCATCTTTTCGAAGGTTGCAGTGCGCCAGTCCTCCCTTGAGGGCCTGCTCAACTGTATGCACTCTGTGATTGACCGCGCTACTGTGGAACCGGGAATGTACGTATCCATCAGAAGTCTCAGAGTACCTTCCCGAGGGATCGGACAGAGATCCTAAACTTGCTCTAGTATCTTTGCATAGGATTCTGTCTATTCTAGCTGCAGCAGGAATGTCAGACAGAAGTTCCTCCAGAATTCCCTGGAAGCTCTTCCAATCTCCCTTTTTGTATTCCTGCAATGCCTTCTTGTAGTCTTCCCACAGGCGAGACCCTCTCCTGTGCTTAACTCTTCCAAGAAGTTTGTGCACAGCTCGTTTTCTGTCCTCTAACTCCTTGGACCAGAAGGTTTCCTTGCCACTACCTCGAACTTTGCATAATGGGCAGTTTTCCTCATATGAAGCAGTCAAGTCCCTGCTCAGAGACTTTATGGCTGTTTCTATATCAGGGCCCGTACAAAGGCTGTATGCTAAGCTTACTACCAAGGTCTGCCTTAAAGGACGTCCAGCTAGTATACCTAGGATTTCTGGCATATTTATCAGGAATCTCTCCATCAGTCTCGCGCCTAGGCATCCTTCTGATCAGGTGGTCAATGTCCTCCTGTGGTATCTCATTCCAGGCAACCACCAACTCCTCTCGAAGTGCTTCTAGAGTCTGAGGAGGACGTTGCAAATTGAGCAATCTCCTACCCATCATATCCCACACGTGCTCAATTGGGGATAAGTCGGGAGATCTTGGTGGCCATGGTAACAATGTGACATCATTATGTTGAAAGAAGTCTATTGTGACTCTTGCAACATGTGGTCGGGCATTATCTTGTTGGAAAGTTGGATCTGCCAGGGTGTCAAGATAGGGTAAAAGATGGGGTTCTAGAACTTCGTGGATATAACGCTGCGCGTTCATGTTACCTCTGATGAAGACTAAAGGTGACCTGGAACCATAAGCTATAGCACCCCAAACCATAACTCCAACAGTGTGATGAACAAGTCTTTCAACAAAAAACTGTGGATTCCTCCTTTCACCACGTCGCCTTCTAACCCTGGCACGACCATCGTGCATCCCTAAACAAAATCGAGACTCGTCACTAAAGACAATACTGTTCCATTTCTGATCCCAGAGTGACCGTTGTCTGCACCACTCAAGGCGATTACGTTGGTGTTCTCGAGTTAAAGGGAGGAGGACCCAGTGTGGCCGGTATGAAAACAAGCCAAAACTTCTCATTCGTCGGTAAACACTTCGCATGCCAATAGGTCTTCCGTGTTCTGCAAACCATTCATTTGCAATGGACCTGGTAGTGGAGAAACGGTCACTTAAGGCCAATAATCTTAGGCGGCGATCTTCACGGTATGTTGTTCTACGGCGGCGTCCAGTGCCTCTTGCTCTTTGCGTACGGCCTTATCGAAGCCATGCCTGACATCACCTAACCACAGTGTCTACACTTCTTTGCACTCTAACTGCAATTGCCCGAAAAGAAAGTCCAGCTTCCCGAAGTCCCACTATACGGCCCCTATCAAACTCACTAAGTTGACGAAATCGTACAGGTCTCCGTACTCTAGGCATCGTAACCGATCGTGTCCAACTGATAAGGCTGAAAATTTTTTCCGTTGTTATTTACAGTAAGATAAATACATTCACCAACTTTTATTAAAATAAAACCATTTAAACTGGGTGTTCGGATTTATATGTCACTTAGTATATATACATACATACATTCATACATACATACATACATACATCATACATACATACTTTCACAATATACAAACCTTTTAGATCCCATAATCTTAAGTGTATTCCATAAAAATTGTGTATAGCACTATAAATCCTCCTCATTTTTTATATTGTTCAACCACCTTGCTTACAGCAAATGAAAATATATTTTCAAAATTACAAATTCTACAGAATAAGGCTATGAGAATCATTTTAAATAAAAGAACTAAAAAAAAATCATATGGTTCTCATTCTCGTATTCAAATTAAAAAATCATTTATTACCACCAAATATAGAAAACTTCACAAAATTAAATAGTCGTTATCATAACTACAAAACTAGTATAGATTTTCATCTGCAAAATTGTAATAGTAGCATAACTAGCAAATCTGTATTTCAGAAGGGAGTGCTTGAATTTAATAAATTAAATAATGGTATTAAACAGTATAATGTTTAAGGTAAAATTACTTTACGAATACTCAAAATGCATAGTGATGTAATTTCAATAGACAAAAACGTAAAATTACAGAAAATGTGTAAACGAATAATTATACAAAATTGACATTGTAGCATTAATTCTAAATAAATCTCCAACAAACAAAAGTCTAATTTCCCGATATAGATATTTTTCGAGTTTACAATGCTTCCATGGCCTACTGGTAATAGCAAATAAAGAGCCATCATGGAAATGATCTGAATGTATGGGTCTTTTATCATCTACAAGGTAAACTTACCAATGCCTCCGAAGGATCAATTTGACCGAGCTGTGAGTTTGCCACTGCAGTTGCTGTCACAAATGCACCAAATGTTTGGTTCGGAAGGTTTGGAAGATCCGCGCAGTATTCAGCTTGACCTATCGCAATTGAAAGATAAATGATATTGTAAATAGTTTGCAAAATTGCTGTTGTAGATTGATTTTTAACATATGTAAGTATGATCACATTAGCTCGTATTTTGAAGATCTGAATTGGTTAAATGTAATAAAATTATTTAAGTTTCACTTATTTTGTTTTGTGCCATCATTTTTCAAACTAGCATTTCGTGGGTCTAATCACTCAAGAAATATTGGTTTTGTGAATACATTAACCATGTCCTTTTACAAGATATCATTCTTCCATAGGTGCTTTACTCATAATACTACAACGATTTTATACGGGGTGACTTTGAAGTTGAGTCATTAATTTTCAGATAATGATTGTAGAAGGAAGATAAACCAGAATATGTGTGTAAAAATAAAAAAAAATGGTTACCTTGTTTTATAAAGTATCCTCCCGACAAGTATTTCAGTGCGGACCTGTATTTGATCGTGAGGTCCCCTGTGAGGTCTTAAGTCACCTGATTCACGAGCCCGTTGTACTACATTAACAAAGGCACGAGGGGTTGGTTGCACTCGATTGGGAAACCGATCCGCATAAACATGTGCCATTTTTTATTTCGTTTGAGCCACGCAACAGACACTATTCACACGCTAACCGACTGACACTGACTGTATGTATAACTGAACTGAATAAAATAATTTATTGTAAAAACATCGTTCCAAATTCTTTCGCTTTTTTGTTTCCGATGCGATGAACCGGTAAGGCGGATTATATCCGTTGTTGCCAAACACGAGCACATGATATTATTATTGAGACAGGGCGGTACTCAAACTTCCAAAGGGCTATAGGCTAAGAAAGACGAATACTAACTGAAATGGATATAGCAGTAGCAGTAGCTGCCTATATTTATATTCACTACGAATTATCCAAAAACAAGCGATGACGACGTCCGAGACGATGGTGGCAAACGCAGTTATACAGGGTGACTTTGAAGTTGAGTCATTTATTTCAACAGTGAGTAGATCTGATCAAAAGAAATGTTTTTTCCTTTAACATTTTTCTGGTAAAATTAAAGTAACAAAGTTATAGCTCTTTAGAAGTTTGAGTACCGCCCTGTCTCAATAATAATATTATGTGCTCGTGTTTGGCAACAACGGATATAATCCGCCTTATCGGTTCATCGCATCGGAAACAAAAAAGCGAAAGAATTTGAAACGCTTATCACGATGTTTTTACTACAATTTTATTCAGTTGTATTCAGTCAATGTGTCAGTCGTGCGTGAGTGAATAGTGGTGTTTCTTGCGTGGCTCAAACGAAATAAAAAATGGCACATGTTTACGAAAATGCTGAACTTGTGGACATGATTCTTATTTACGGAGGGGGAGTCTTTACAAAATGCTGCCGCGGCATCACGGATTTGTGCGGATCGGTTTCCCAATCGAGTGCAACCAACCCCTCGTTCATTTGCTCAAAGGGCTCGTGAATCAGGTGACTTAAGACTTCACAGGGGAGGGCATGCTGGTGCTCCAAGACCGCATGATCAAATACAGGTCCGCACTGAAATACTTGTCGGGGGACACTTTATAAAACAAGGTAAAATTTTTTTTTATTTTTTTTATTTTTACACACATATTTTGGTTTATCTTCCTTCTACAATCATTATCTGAAAACTAATGACTCAACTTGAAAGTATATATATATATATATATATATATATATATTTGAACAATAAATTTAAAGACAATCATCACATCCCATTTCTCTAAATTATGAACATGCAACTATGCAGGTCATTTTAAAACATAATTTCGATATGATAAGTGGATTTATGTGATATTTATACGGGGTATCGGGGAAATAATATTCGTAACTTTAAGAGGTGATTCCGTGCATTATTCTAAGCAAAAAAGTTCATTATAACCTATGTCCGAAAATCAATCGTTTCGGAGCAAAGAAATGCTGAACTTACTTCTTTTTAGTCATGAAATAAATTCATTTTACACCTAAATAATTTAAATTCATATGCCTAATAGCGTAAAATATATCAATACATCTATTTATTAATTAACTGTCTCTAACAACATAATTTGACAGATTCTTGCATACGTTAATGCAAGTAATGTTAACCCGAATTGAAATCACATTTTATTATTCAGTATGTATTAAGCCATGTACAGCTATGTAACAACACCGCGAACCGAACCTCGCGACGAACCGCAGCGCGCGCATTTTAACGAACAACATTGCAACGAGCTTCACCACAAACCGAAGGACGCCGTGCAACCACATCGCGCAATAAAATGACGATCCAATGTTCATGTTTGTCGTTCAGTGAAAGACGAATACTAACTGAAATGGATATAGCAGTAGCTGCCTATATTTATATTCACTACGAATTATCCAAAAACAAGCGATGACGACGTCCGAGACGATGGTAGCAAACGCAGTTATATACCAATAGATCAGCACATGGTTGCAACAATTTAATAACGGAATTGCCATTTTCCATTTACATAAGCCAGCTGTTGTTCCCAATGTGGACGCTTTCTGCTCCCAGGCATCATTTTTTTGATTTATTGTAATTTCATCCCACAACAATTCCGCGGCGTTCTTTTCACCGTCTACACTAATGCGTTGCGGTTCGTCGCGTGGTTCGGTTCGCGGTATTGTTACATATCTGTACATGGCTTTACTGTATCAGTGCGTGCATTTTGATACGAGATGTTTTCGGTACGCGACTAACAAGATATGCTTACTATTTACGGACAGGTTCATTGCAATTCTGAAGAGGCTAGGCGCATTTACGAAGAACGTTTTCCTGATCGAAGGCTACCAGCTAGAAGAACATTCGTAGAAGTATCCCCAATGCCTAATTTTAACAATCGCGCAAGACATCGTAAAGTTGGAGTGGAAACCGAACAACAAATTTTGAATTCAATTGACGAGGATTTGACTCGGAGTACTAGAAGTATCACTCGTCAAGGCGGTGTCGCATACTGGATTGTACATCGGACCCTTAAAGAACAGTTATTGTACCCACATCATGTCCAGAGGGTTCAAGCTCTTTCGACCAAAGAAATCACAATTTTGTACCGAACGTGTTTTCAACAGATGAATCTTGTTTTACAAGAAATGGAATTTGAATTTTCACAATTTTCATAATCGGGCGGACGAAAATCCCCATGCACGGAAAAATTCGCAGTATCGATTTTCTGTTAATGTGTGGGCTAGAATAATTGGTGACCAATTAATAGGACCATTTTTTGCCACATTGCTTGAACGATGAAAGCTATTCAGCTTTTCTAGAGGCAAGTTGCCCGTTTTGTGGAAGAAGTGCCATTGCAAACAAAAATGAATATGTGGTATTTGCACGATGGTGCTCCAGCACACGCTAGTCGAGTAGTTGTGGAATATCTCAATAATACCTAAAGGAAAAAGGTGGATAGGAAGAAATGGTCCAAATGCCTGGCCGGCTAGATCCCCGGATATATATTTTTGGTGTTAATTTATTTTTGTTGAGGGTTAAGTGACAGAATGGCGATTTAAATATTTGAAGGTAGACAAGCAATAAGGATCCAATCTTCAAATATGTTTACAAGTTTTTATCAAAATTCAATAAATAATTTTGGTTGTTGCCTTTTATATGTCACTTAGTATATTAAGGAAGACCGATGTTATTAGTCCTTTTATAAGAAGAGATGATAGTAGATGGGACCATCGACGCTCTAGAAGAGAGATCTAGATCGCCGACGGTCCGCCAGTTCGAAAGAGTCCTGAGACTGTACGTTAGAGAAGAGTCATCTATCAGCCGGCTGCACCCCAAACATGTGTGCAGTACTCGAGGCTAGGTCTTATCTGGGTCTTGTTCGGAGAAAGTAGGCTATGAGGAGAAAACTAAACAAATAGTCAAGCCTTTCCCCAGTAGCTAACCCTATTGACGAGATGTTTTCGTGCCAGATCAAGCCCTCGGTGCTCTGGACTCCGACCAGCCGAAATGATTGGCTCTTCCGGAGAACGCGGCCATCCATCGGAACTGGATGAGCGCGAGGACGCTTCTTGCTCGTTTTTGGTAGAGTACTGCGTTTTGGAAAAATTAAACTGTATAAGATTGTTGCATCCCCGAGTAAAGTCTTTCGTCAGAGAGGAAGTTGCGGCTACTCTTATTTTCTCCAGCTCACTGGCGGAGAACGGCTCGACGCTCTGAATTCCTGCATGTAGAGTGCTGTCATCAGCAAGGCTTTGGATCGGATCCCAACTAACAATTATCACTCCTATTAGAGTTGCAAGAATGATTAAACAGTATTCCTTACACAACATTGTATACGGTAAGAACATTGGCAAAACTCTCTTAGAACAGGTATAGAAGCGGAATAGGCTCACCTAATAGGACACTTCAGTCATTTAAGAGGTTGTATAAGGGCCGCATGTAACAGTTATACAACAAAAGTGTAAGCCTCTTGCAGCCGCTATTGGACATTTGCGTCAGTGCAAGATTCAGCTTTTGTCAACTATACAACTATTATGTTGCGTGATTCTACTTTATTGCAACCAAACTATTTCTTATGTATTGTATAGGCGAAGTGAAGTATATATAACTAACACATTACAGTAATCTTGTTTACTTACATATCGGCCATTGTGAATTTCATACACAGGTATATGATACACTTCTACACTGTGATATAGGGCTATTGAATTACTTGCGCAGCAAATTTTATTGTGATTATCGTGCAAAGTAGTTACGCAATTTCTACAGGGTTCGTATTTGATTCATAATTTAATAATGATACAAAGTATGTCTAGATTTTTAAGATGAAAAACTGAACTTATCTGCATTAAGTCTTCAACAAATCCTATATTTAGACACAATTACACTAATGTTTATCATTTTATATATGTAATTTCGAACTGAAACATAATTATTTAATATTAAATAGAGGAATAAATGTTTACCCAATATGGCGGGTGACTTCGAAGTTGAGTCATTTATTTTAACAGCGAGTAGATCTGATCAAAAGAAATGTTTTTTTCCTTTACCATTTTTCTGGTAAAATTAAAGTAAGAAAGTTATAGCCCTTTGGAAGTTTGAGTACCGCCCTGTCTCAATAATAATATCATGTGCTCGTGTTTGGCAACAACGGATACAATCCGCCTTATCGGTTCATCGCATCGGAAACAAAAAAGCGAAAGAATTTGGAACGATGTTTTTACAATTATTTTATTCAGTTCAGTTATACATACAGTCAGTGTCAGTCGGTTACGCGTGTGAATAGTTTCTGTTGCGTGGCTCAAACGAAATAAAAAATGGCACATGTTTATGCGGATCGGTTTCCCAATCGAGTGCAACCAACCCCTCGTGCCTTTGTTTATGTAGTACAACGGGCTCGTGAATCAGGTGACTTAAGACCTCACAGGGGACCTCATGAACAAATACAGGTCCGCACTGAAATACTTGTCGGGAGGATACTTTATAAAACAAGGTAAAAAATTTTGTTAATTTTTTATTTATTTTTACACACATATTTTGGTTTATCTTCCTTCTACAATCATTATCTGAAAATTAATGACTCAACTTAAAAGTCACTCTGTATATAATCATGGCATCTTTGGTTTATTAGAACATTTTGGTGTTGCCTGCAGGTATTATACAATGCGTTGTTTGTCTTAAAACATTGGTTATGATATTTCAACAAAAATATGACAGCAGAAAGTTAGGTTATGGTGAAGTTGTATACCAACATATTTAGCAACAAATGTATGCCGAGCACAGCAATTTTGTACTACAAATGTTGTAATATTGTTGCATATGTACAGCCTTTAACAGTTACTAAACAACAGTTGTATAAGTGCTTCCGATGGGAGCAATTATTTATTTGTTGGCTAAAGCAGTAAATTTGCACAGCAAAACAACAAGGCTCGGGTTTGTTTTATAAACGTTACCATGGATGCCACAACACAACCATTTTGACTACCGTGCAAATATGCCGTATAAAATAGTTGCATAATCGAACTTTTTATGGCTGAACGGTTCTTTTACCAAAAGCTTATAGCACTACTTTTCTAGTTGGGATTGACCGTTAAGAAAGGGAGTTCGGTGATATATAAGAGGAACAATGTCGGAGCCAAGACCGTTCCAGTTTCCGTTGTGGGATGAAGGGGAGAACCTGTCAATTACGACGGATATCTTGCGGCCAGAGATAAAATCAGCCACCCATCTGAACAGCTTCTCTGGGAGGCCACATGTTGGAAGTTTGCATGCCACAGGTCTTTCCTTTGTGTATTTGTAACTCGTATTTATATATCAAGGATTATCAAGTAATCGTGCATCCCTACCCAGTATTTACCTGACGTTTGTGCTAGTGCCTCAACTTTGGGAATAGGCTCCGAAAGAGGATAATTCCTGGGAGTGGTTCCGAATTCCTGGATCGCCGTTGACAGTGGTCTCTGGAGAAGCGTGCCACCACTAGATAATCTGCTACTAGTCAAAAGCTCCTTGGGGCATTTGTTCAGGACGAACTGAAATATGAAATTCATAAATTAGTGAGCCTTTTATAGCATTTTAACATAAAGGTTAACTGGATTAGGTATTCACAGCTGCACTTTATACAATAGAATGTAAGAGTAACCTAAAAAATGCTGTCAAGTACGCTGGCTTTGCTCTTTCCACCCGCAAAATGTCATCAGTTCATACTCGTAAATGATTGTGTTCGGTTCAAGTTAGTCCCTCTTAGGAAAAAGGTAATCTTGGTGGCGGCCAGGCCGTGGCAGGTTTATAATCTATCTTCGTTGCCTCTGACGCGGGCATGGAAAATGTTTGCATTCTGAGTCTTACGGGCAAATATACGGGGAAATTTATTTGTGAAATACACCTAACAGTTGCGACGAATTACGGGGATTGGAACAGAATGACTATACTCCAAAAAATTAATATACAGGGTGGCCCGCCCATGTGTTAACGGAAAATCTATTTATGGCATGTTATACATGACGTTTGAGGGCACATTTATAAAATATTGGCAATTATACAGGGTGTCCCAATTTTGACCCACATATCGAAGTTGTAATTTTTTGAATGAAATGCCTCAAATTTTATTGCATATTTGGATAAGCCAGTTCAAAAGAAGAAGATTGATTACACATACTATGAGGTTTTGGTAATTAGCTACTGAGATGTAAGGTGTTTTGTCCAGAAAAACCGTCCACTTCGCCAAACCCTCAATCCGCCATTTTGAAATTTGGAGTGCTGAATTTTGTATCAAAAAAAACTTACACACCTCAGCTTTCATCTTATTTGTTACTTTTTCGAATTGTCATTTTTGCTCATTCAGGTTGGTCAAAAACGCAAATTCTGCTTTTTCTCAAAAATTTCGAATGCATCACCCTGTATATTTGTACAAGTTTGGATATAATTTTTCATAATCTTTTTTTGAGTAACAGGTTTGATTCAGATAAACTCACTAGATTTTGAGTTATTAAGCTTTTAATAGAACAACACACAAAATTAAAGGAAAAAATCACATCATCCATGGAAACAAAAGACAAACAGTTGGGCTAGTTCCATATTGCCACTAAAAGTACAAATTTGACGTAGAAACTAATAACAATCAGAATACCAGAATAGTATAAATCAGCTTCAAGCGTAATAGAGAAAAACAACTATAACAACAGCATAAACAAACAACTATCACTATTCAAGACCTAATCTACAAAAACTGCTCGAAAATATCTCCACCATCTTGAATACACAGCGGTAGCCTTTTAATAAATCACCGTTGTACATCCCTCGGCATGTGTTCCCTTATGTTCAGAAAAGCATCCTGAATCCTTAATTAAGCCGTTCCATAAAAGACGTCCTAATAACCAAAAAAATAGCCGTAAAAACCCTTATGTGTCTAGTATGAAAAAAGGATTATGAAAAATTGAATTCAAACTTGCACAAATATATAGGGTGATACATTTTAAATTTCTGATATAAACTACAATTTGCGTTTTTAACCACCCTGTATGAGCAAAAATGAAAATTCGAAAAAGTAACAAACAAGATAAAAGCTGAGGTGTGTCGTTTTTTTTATATAAAATTCAGCACTCCAAATTTCAAAATGGCGGACTGAGAGGTTGATAAAGTGGGGGGTTTTTCTAGACAGAACACCTATATCTTAGTAGCTAATTAGCAAAACCCCATAGTATGTTAAATCAATTTTCTTCCTTTGCTATGTAGGTCAAAATTGAGACACCCTATATAATTGTCAATATTTTAGAAATGTGCCCTCAAATGTCATGTATAACATCCCATAAATAGATTTTCCCAAAACGTATTAGTTTATGAGTAATATTCCGTCCACACATGGTTGGGCCACCCTGTATACCCCCGCGCTCCTGCAGCCATTCATCCTCAATATGTTACCCGTTACAAAATAAAAATAAAATAACTAGGAGTCCATGAAACGCAAAAAACAGTTTGCAAGTTTTTTTTGTGTTTCACCCATAGTTCTGCCGGCACTGGATTGATTTTCAGAACTCAAGATTTTGTGTCCTTGTTATAGTAGTATGCCAGATACATGTTGGTAGGTTGAGTGTAGGTCAACAATCTTCCACAAAATCCAACCTGTAATCCTCCAATTCGTTCTGCGGGACCGCCTTTGACTCTGAACCGTTTAGGGGGTGCCGGTTTTTCGGTGGGTCGCCTCGACCAGTGTTCAGGAGACTGGCCGAAAAGCTTGTAACTCAGATAATCAGATTCGTTGGGTCACAGGTATCCTGGTCGCATATCTGGGACGCCTGCAGCTCAATGGTCATCGTGGGCAATAGTACACTACCCAACACACCATCTTAAACCTTATCCTGATGACATTCACAGAGCCACGAATCTTGTTCATGAAGTAAGAAATGCTCTTTGTGAATTCCGCAATGAGCAATGGAAGGATTTTCTGGCGAGAATGCTTGACTCAAGTACTCCTCTCTGGAACGTGACGAAGTCGTTCAGAAACGGAAAGCAAGAACAACTGCCGCACATCCACGGTCCTAGGGGCATATTCTGTAGGACAGGGGACAAGGTCGAGGTTTTCGCTGAAGCTATGGAACGACAATTCTCTCCCAACTATGATCGCGATAATGATCTCGACGAGGAGCAAAAAATTGTAAGATCCGTCAGGAGATATTTTAGAGCCAACGGCGTCAGTGATCCCGGCGCCGCCATTAGTGATTCTTCATCAGAAGCTTCTTTTTCGGAAGATTCTTCAGCTGAAGAGTTGCACATCACATCAGCGGTTTCTCCCAAGATCCCGCATTGCACACCAGCAGAGCTTCAAGGTCATATTAAAGACCTCAAGGTGAAGAAGTCCTTGACTTATCTCGTGGCTATTATCAATGCCTTGCTAAGAACCCAGTAATTTCCATCGGCGTGGAAGACTACGGAAGTTATAATAATTTCAAAGAAGGTGGATTCGATATTTCCCCAGGACTATCGTCCGATCAGCCTACTGTCTGCTCCGTCTAAGCTCGCTGAAAAGGTGATTCTACGTTACCTTGCAAATTTCTTGTCAGATCACCATGTAATTCCTGACGTGCAATTTGGATTTCGATCTGAGCATAGTACGGAGTTACAGGCGGTTAGGCTTGTGGAGCGAGTAACCAGGGGCTTCACCCTTAACGAAAGTACTGGCAACTTGCTTATGGATGTTTCGAAGGCATTTGACAAGGTGTGGCACAAGGGACTTCTCTATAAACTAATTCAAAAGGCTTTCCATTTTGGCTCTTAAAACTTTTTAAATCCTTCCTTGAAGATAGGAAATTTCGGATCAGAATTAATAATTTCTTGTCGACAGTACGGCCCATCAAGGCCGGCGTTCCTCAGGGTTCGGTTCTAGGGCCAATCCTTTACTCACTTTTCACGCATGATGTACCTTGCCCTAGCGACTGTGAAGTCTATCTATATGCTGATGACACTGCACTGGTGGCCCAGTCGCGTACCCGGAATCTGGTTCACGACAGGTCACAAAGTGCCGTGGATGAGGCATTGGAATGGGCAGATCGGTGGCTAATCAAAATTAAATACTCGAAAACGCAAGCTATCTATTGTACTAAAAAACTTAGCGGCGCCCCGCCAGAGGTTTTAGTGAATGGAGCTCGCATACCATGGGGAAATTCTGCTCAGTATCTCGGTGTCACTCTTGACAGGGGGATGACCTGGCAGAATCACACTGAAGCGTTAAAAACTAAATTCCAAATTACGTTACGGCAACTCTACCCTTTACTATGTAGAACCTCAGAATTAAGTTTGGTTAACAAAGTCCGGCTATACAAGATGGTTATCAGATCAGCAATCACTTACGCGTGTGCAGTATGTTGTTTTCTTGCCAAAACGCATATGCGTAATATGCAGGTTTTGCAGAACAGAACCTTGCGAACCATCACTAAGGCACCATGGTACGTCTCCAACGAGACCCTTCACAGAGACCTCGACATACCTTACTTAAGGAACTACATCAAACATCAGGCGCAGTTACGTTATAGTCAAGCGATATCGCGCAGCAACCCTCTGTTGCGTGAGTCAGTAGACTACACAGTCGAGCAAGTTCGCAAGCACACAAGACCGCGGCTCGCACTGTGATCAAAATCAAATCATGCAATTCTAGATCCAACCAAAATTACGATTTTTGCCACACACAAATTCCTAAACTAATTTTTGAGTAATTTAAAATAACCGAATACCAGTTAACAATGACAAGACATCCCTTTAACCGACGCACTTTCCCCTCTTTGCTTTTCCCCCTTCCTTCCTTTCTTTCTTTTTCCTTTCTTTCTCCCTGACTTCGTCTGGTCTCTGGGCAACCAGACCTGACAGACCTATTGACCTACGATACTTTAACAAAGAGCGAAGGTCCCACGGACCGCTCTGACGGACAATGACGAATAGAACCATCTTAAACGGCGGCCTCCCTCAACGGGGGACCCCGAACATCCAGGCGGCCCCTCACCAAGGGATCCCGATCGTACTCTGAGGAATCTATCAGAAACTCTGCTAGAGAGCTCGTGGAAAGGTTGAGCTTCCTAAAAATTAAAAAGAAATCTCGGCCAGGTTCCGAAAAGAAAGGGGCATGGAAGCGGAGAGAACCGCGACTGACCACCACCACCATTTCTGGGGCTCCGACTATTCAGGACCAACCGTCATCTGGGCAGGACGGTGCGCAGTCCGATGTGTCAGCGGAGGCCCCAAAGTGGCCTGGCGTCAGGAAGCGGCAGCGGTCTGCCGGTGAAACGCCGCATCTTGGCGGAAGAGTGGCTACCTTGTTCGACGGTGCCTCGATGAATTGAGTTCCAGGTGCAGGAGGTGGTCAGTGTGCTGATATATGGGCTCCCAGATGAAGGGATCCTTCCTAGGTAGATTGACTGCTACCTCTCTCGAGCCATCTTTGTCTGCGAGGACGAGTCCTCAAGGGCATGGTTGGAGGCCCATGAGGGGGATCTGCGGTCGTGATCACGTGCAAGGCTCATTAGGATGAGCTTTGGTGTCCTTCCGGATCCCATCCTGGGAATTGAGGTCATCACGACGAGGCTCAGGAGTCACCATCCTGGAACCCTTCCCAGCGTATGGAGACTACTGGAGAAGAGGGAGGAACCCAAAGGGGTCTGACTTGTTCTCTCAGTGGGTTCCATTGTCGTTGAGAGTAACAGTAGGCTGTGCTGCGGAGGACGCGAAGCAAAAGCAAAAAGTGATTCAGCGAAGCAAAACCTGCCGGAACACGTCTGGCTCCTAACCAGGTGTTCATTCCTTCACAGGGGACGGGTTAGTCGGGGCAGCTATTGCTGGAACCTCCAGATGTTACGGACAGGGGGAGACGGCGGGTCCTAGCGGGGCATCCGCAGGAAACATCGTAGAGGGCCCGGCGATTGAACGTGCCCCAGAGGGGAGTGATAGCGACTCGGACGAGGATGGGATTTTTAGTCCAATAACTCCTTCGTGGAAGTGGAGATGAGGGCGGCTTCGGCATGAAAGACTGTGACGGCGACAGTCGTACGCCCGAACATTCTTGTATATATTTCTTACCGTTTTTTTTGTTTTCATTTTTATTAGATAATACTTATCGCCAGTCATTGGCCAACACTCAAACTACCAACATGTATATTACAGAAATGTAATTATTTTATCGACTTACTAGTAAGTCTTTCCGAATGATAATTCTACATTTACAATATTTTATGGTTTAATGTGTTTTGTCTTGTAATTTCTTATGCATACAGGGTTTGTCCGGAAAGTAATAGGACTGAGTCGATTTAAAAAAATGTATTGTTACAATTCTTTAAAAACTTTCAAAATAGGCTCCTTCTGTGTCGATGCAGCGCTGCCAGCGCGATTTCCAAGCATTGAAGGCGTCACGGAAGGCATTCTCCGGAATAGCCTTGAGAGCCGCGGTGCATGCTGCTTGGATCCCCTCTGTCGTCTCAGAATGCTTGCCTTTTATCGGCCTTTTCAGGCGAGGAAACAAAAAAAAGTCCGGGGGGGCCACATCTGGGTAGTAGGGCGGCTGTGGAAGCGTTGGGATGCCGGCCTTGGTCAGGTAGCTGTTCACAAGAAAGGCGGTGTGAGCCGGGGCGTTGTCGTGGTGCAACTTCCAACTTCGAAGTATAGTCATGGCGGAAGAAAATGAGTCCTATTACTTTCCGGACAAACCCTGTATGTTCAGTTTTATAAGCTCAAATGTACCCAAAGATGGCGTTTGAAGTCGCCGAAGTGTCGTGATACGTTTAATAAATATTTTGAGTTGACGAATTTATAAATTAAAAAGGTATTACGATACCTTATAGAATAATGCAATAGCGAGGTATTTCCTGTAAGTAGGCGTTGCATCAGGCAGCTCCCAGGTAGGTTGAATTTCTTTATTCAACGACTCGAAAGCTTGCTGTAAAACCTTGTTGTCGAATAGTTTCTTGCCCTTGAACAGTTCTTCCGTTTTTGAGGCATGGACAAATGTTGCGCTGATACCCCCAAAAACGATCCTTGGCGACTCGACTACGTAGTTAGGTGACAGTTTGAACAAGAAGCCGGCATTCACATCTGCATGGGCGTTTTGTGCACGAGGCATTATCTAGAACAGTGGAAGTCGATGTTAACTCGATTACTGTGCATATTTATGGAAATTCGAAGTATATTATTGGACAAAAATTTCATTCCCAAGTACACCGGTGTGAGGTTGGCAGACAAAATTTAGCGGACAATTTGCGACATTCTCGACCAGACTGTGATTGTGAAGGATACAGCTAACAGCTCGCAACAATAAATATATATGCACGATAATAAACACCCCTATAAGGAGAATCATTTTCCACCCCAATTAAATAATTCGCAGGAACAAGACTTAACCCAAAACCTTTCTTCGAATTTTCACTTACAGAATATTGTATACAGGGTTATCCAAATTAAGTGTCCACCATTGGTAACTTTGTTATTAGTAAAAATACAAAGTTGTTTAAATTAGCAAACTAGTAGCATTTTTAACGCTGGTAAAAATGAGAAATAAAAAAAAACAATTGAGAGTCGTTATTTTGATTTTTTTCAGTAAAATAACATTTTTTTAAATGGAAACCCCTGTATATTATATTTTTTTCTGTTAAAGCATCAAATTTTAAACAAAAAAGTTCATGATGACTTTTCCGCTAAAGTCAAAAATAAAGTCAAAATAACGATAAATATTTTTAATTATTTGCAGTATTATAATATTAAGACGGCTATGAAAACAACATGGCGTTCGCGATTTGACAGCATTAAGATAAGCGATAAATTGTTAAACTGGACATACTCGCAACTAGAAGGCTTTGGAAAACAATGATAAAATCAAATAATGTCAAACATTAGTGTAAATACTTGTTTATAAGCTTTATTGTGTCATTAATTTAAAGAAAAATGTTCTCCCATGAAGAAAAGTGTGATATGTTAGAATGCTATTTAGTGTGCAGAAAATCCTCCTTGAGAGCAAGACAGTGAATTATATCCCGCTCGCATTCAACCGTATGAACGATATTTTCTGAGACTTTATCGAAAATTTAGGGGCAACGAAAATGTTTTTGCTAAAACAAGGGCAAAAAAAGAATTCATAATAAGCGAGGCCACGGAAATTGCAGTTATTGGATATTTTGAAGCTTATCGTGAGAATTCAATAGCAGATATTCTCAAGGACTCTAATTTCAGTTATGGTACTGTTCAAAGGATTTTAAAAAAATACAAATTTATTCCGTATAAGTACCGACCAGTTCAAACGCTTTTGGCAGGGGATCCAGAGAGAAGACTTGTTTTTTGCCATTGGTATCTTAGCTTCTGTCGCCAAAATGTAAATAACTTTCGTTACCTTTTATGGACAGATGAATCAAATTTTTCAAATTCTGGAATGTTTAATAGAAAAAACCACCATTATTGGTCAAGAGAAAATCTTTTGTTAGTACATCCAAGAGGCCCACAAGTCCGTTTCAGTTTCAACGTTTGGTGCGGTATAATTGGTTAAAAAATTGTTGGCCCGTTCTTTTATGAGGGAACCCTAACTGGTGAAAGATATGTGGAATTTATGTCAGAAATTCTGACTAATTTCTTAGACGAATTGGATCTTATAAGTAGACATCATCTGCATTTTCAGCAAGATGGCGCACCTGCCCACAACTCCAGAGGTACTTATCATTTTCTAAGTACTACTTTTAATGATCAGTGGATAGGAACAAATGGCCCAATACAGTGGCCTCCCAGATCACCAGATCTAAACCCACTTGATTACTTCTTATGGGGTTACTTAAAGAACCAAATTTACAAGCGAAGGTACGATAACCTTGACGCGTTAAAGACTGCAGTTAGGGAAAAGATAACCCAGATAGATGGTAGGACCATACTTAAGACAGTTCGAGCAGTTGAAAAACGTGCCCAAAAATGTATTGAAGAACAAGGTGGTGTTTTCGAGCATCTTCTTTAAAAAAAATTGTTATTGTATTTTGTAAGATTATAAGTTGATGTTGAAAATAAAGTTTGTCGATACAATTTAATTGTTTCAGATTGGAGGCCATAACTTCAACAATTTGTAACCTAGGAGAAAAGTTATTGTAAGCTTTTTTGTTTAAAATTTGATGCTTTAACAGAAAAAAATATAATATACAGGGGTTTCCATTTAAAAAAATGTTATTTTACTGAAAAAAATCAAAATAACGACTCTCAATTGTTTTTTTTTATTTCTCATTTTTACCAGCGTTAAAAATGCTACTAGTTTGCTAATTCAAACAACTTTGTATTTTCACTAATAACAAAGTTACTAATGGTGGACACTTAATTTGGATAACCCTGTATATGGTATTGAAAGTAATTAATGGGCTAAATAGCATATACTGAGAAAATCTCTAAAAGGGTGATGGATAAAAAAATATAAATAAAACTTCATTTTCACCGCCAAAAAAATGATTCCTCAAAATGGTTTATATCTCAAAAAAATACTCTACGAGTATTACAGAGACAATTCATGGGCTAGGTGGCATGGTGTGAAAAAGCTTCTGAAAGGCTGGCAGATATAAAAATATGTTTATAAATTCATTTTCACCCCCAAGGAAATGATTCCCCAAAATCAGTTGTACCTCAAAAAAATACTCTATTATAGAGACAATTTATACGCTAGATGGCATGGTGTGAGAAAGCTTCTGAAAGGCTGACAGATAAAAAAATATGTTTATAAATTCATTTTCACCCCTAAGGAAATGATTCCCCAAAATCAGTTGTACCTCAACAAAATACTCTGTTATAGAGACAATTTATAGGCTAGGTGGCATGGTGTGAGAAAGCTTCTGAAGGGGTGGCAGCTAAATATATCTATAAATTCATTTTCACCCCCAAGGAAATGATTCCCCAAAATGAGTTGCACATCAAAACAATACTCCATTATAGAGACAATTTATAGGCTAGGTGACATGGTGTGAGATTCTTCTGAAAGGGTGGCAAATAAAAGAATATGTTTATAAATTCATTTTCTCCCCCAAGAAAATGATTCCCCAAAATCAGCTGTACCTCAAAAAATACTCTATTTTAGAGACAATTTATAGGCTAGGTGGCATGGGGTGAGAAAGCTCCTGAAAAGGTGGCAGGTAAAAAAATATGTTTATAAATTAATTTTCACCCCCAAGGAAATGATTCCCCAAAATCAGTTGTAGCTCAAAAAAATACTCTGTTATAAAGATAATTTATAGGCTGGGTGGTATGGTGTGAGAAAGCTTCTGAAAGACTGGTAGATAAAAAAATATGTTTATAAATTAATTTTCACCCCCAAGGAAATGATTCCCCAAAATGAGTTGCACATCAAAACAATACTATATTATAGAGACAATTTATAGGCTAGGTGTCATGGTGTGAGAAAGCTTCGAAGGGGTGGCAGCTAAAAAAATATATTTATAAATTCATTTTCACCCCCAAGGAAATGATTCCCCAAAATGAGTTGCACATCAAAACAATACTATATTATAGAGACAATTTATAGGCTAGGTGTCATGGTGTGAGAAAGCTTCGAAGGGGTGGCAGCTAAAAAAATATATTTATAAATTCATTTTCACCCCCAAGGAAATGATTCCCCAAAATGAGTTGCACATCAAAACAATACTCTCTTATAGAGACAACTTATAGGCTAGGTGTCATGGTGTGAGAAAGCTTCTGAAGGGGTGGCAGCTAACAAAATATATTTATAAATTCATTTTCATCACCAAGGAAATGATTCCCCAAAATCAGTTGTACCTCAAAAAGATACTCTATTATAGAGACAATTTATAGGCTAGGTGGCATGGTGGGAGAAAGCTTCTGAAGGGGTGGCAGTTAAAAAAATATATTTATAAATTCATTTTCACTCCCAAGGAAATCATTCCCCAAAATCAGTTGTACCTCAAAACAATAATCTATCATAGAGACAATTTATAGGCTGGATGGCATGGTGTGAGAAAGCTTCTGAAAGGATGGCAGATAAAAAAATTATGTTCATAAAATTCAATTTACAAACATATTTTTTTATCTGCCAGCCTTTTAGAAGCTTTTTCACACCATGCCAACTAGCCTATAAATTGTCTCTATAATAGAGTATTTTTTTGAGGTACAACTGATTTTGGGGAATCATTTCCTTAGGGGTGAAAATGAATTTATAAACATATTTTTTTATATTCCTCACACCATGCCACCTAACCTATAAATTGTCTCTATAATAGAGTATGTTTTTGAGGTACAAATAATTTTGGGGAATCATTTCCTTGGGGGCGAAAATAGATTTTTAATTATAGTTTCTTATCTGTCACCCTTCAGAAGCTTTCTCACACCATACCACCTAGCCCACGAATTGCCTCTGTAATTGAGTATTTTTCTGAGATATAAATCATTTTGGGGAATCATTTTTTTGGGGGTGAAAATGAAGTTTCATTTATATTTTTTTATCTACCATCCCTTTAGAGATTTTCTCAGTATATGCTATTTAGCTCATTAATTACTTTCAATACCATATATACAATAATCCGTAAGTGAAAATTCTAAGAAAGGTTTTGTGTTAAGTCTGGTTCCTGCGAATTATTTAATTGGGGTGGAAAATGATTCTTCCTATAGGGGTGCTTATTCTCGTGCATATATATTTATTGTTGCGAGCTGTTAGCTGTATCCTTCACACTCACAGTCTGGTCGAGGATGTCGACGCTACTGGTCATTCGGGTGTCTTCGGCAAATTGTCTGCTAAATTTTGTCTGCCAACTTCACACCGGTCCCAATTACAAACCCTTAAGAGCCAAAATAAAAATTAGATTTGCAAAAAGTTGAAAATTGATACAGGCTTTGAATACACCATTATGAATAATATACTGAGTATATTTACAGAAAATCAGAAAAAAGGTCTCGGTTTCCTGAAAATATATGAGATCCTCTATTAAAAAACTTAACTTTATTCGATATCACCGCTCTGAGACATCCTGTTTAAAAAAACACATAAAAAGCTGCATATAACTTCAATTTAGAACTTTTTTTTGGAAGGCCATATAAAGAGGTTAGAGTGGGGTTCAGTTTATAGCCAGATTCCCGGTACAGAAGCCTACTTAAATGAGAAATGTTCTATCTTACCTTATATGTAATCCATTGATAAGTCTTATCAATCGGTTTCAAAATAATATGTTTTATAACTTTTTTAAACATATTTATCCGTAAAAAGTCTTCTGGTGAACACAATATTTCCTCTTCGTTTGTATCAACTAAAAACCAAAATGGGATACAGTCAATAGATCATCAAACATAGTTTTGTTGAGTGTGTACCTATCGATAATGTTGCCTTGAATGTTTCCATAATCAAGAATATGTCTGAAGGAAACTCGTTGTGAGTATGCTTGATCATAAGATTGCCGGCTATGGTTCCAATCTATAAATTAAAAAAGTTCTGTTTATTCTCTTTGTCCCCATCGTTGTCAAACAAAGTCAGTAAAATACTTTTAATTTGATTACTGATTTGGCTGTGGAGATGTTGAGTACATGTAAACAGGTAGAATCTGTTAGTACTTAATCTTACCAGTAACTTATTCAGAAAATAATAATAAATTGTGAATTAGATTAATTTTCAATTAATGATCTTTTTTTATACTCCAACCACCACGAAGGCCTAAGGCCTAAATACCCATGGGGTACCGTGGGGGGATACAGGGGAAAGGGGGAACGCCACACGTACTCTGGCGAGGGAACACGTGTGCATGCAACATGCACACATTCTGGCCCCGCCTACGAGATCCGCCGGGTGGTACCTCCGCGTTCGACAGTTAGAGACCGTCTACCACCTGCGGACAATCACAACATCCATAGCCAAGAGAAAAATTTCTTCTGGGACGCGATTCGAACCCGCACAGCGCACGGCGACTAATCAGGAGACCGAAGAGTCTACTACTTCGACCACCGCTGCTGCCTAGATCAGTAAGAACATAAGATCTATTTACCATAAATGCTTATACAGGGTCCGGCAACGCGATCTCCCACATTTTAAGCTTCAACAAAAACGCCATTGTGAATGTTATTTAGATTTTATTTTTATTAACTGAAAATATATGCCATGCCATTTGTTTTTATGAAGTTTTGAAAATTACAGAGTCCAAGTAGCGACCATTGTTTTCGATATACAATCGAATCTGATTTCTGAAAGTTTCCCTCACTCGAGCAGTAATTTGAGGCGATATTCCTGTAATTTCTTGGCATATTGCTGCTTTCATTTTGTAAACGGTTCGGGGATGGTGTTGAAAAACGTTTGCTTTCAGGCAGCCCCAAAGGAAAAAGTCGCATGGGGCAAGATCAGGTGAACGCGCAGGCCACCCAACGCCTCCACGTAACGAGATTACGCGTTCTGAAAACATTTCCCGTAAAACGGTCATTGTCCTTCTTGCCGTATGAGCCGTAGCTCCATCCTGCTGAAATCACACATCTGGATGTCCAAGTTCTCTAAGTTTCGGTTGTTGCTCTTGACATCGATCAGCTGTGGCACGATGCCCTCTTAAGCAAACATCCATCCTATGGCCTCCCAGAAAAGCTTTGCAGATGGGTGGAAGACTTGATCTCTGGCAGTAAGATACCCGTTGTAGTTGATGGGTTCTCCTCTTCATCCCACAACGTCAACGCGGGTGTTCCCCAGGAATCGGTCTTGGGTCCGACGCTGTTCCTCCTACATATCAACGATCTCCTTTCCTGCACGATCAACCCAATCCACAGCATGCAGGAATTTAGAGTGACAAGCCGATCTCTGCCGCTGAGCTGGAAAAAAGAAGACTAGCGACGACTTCCTCTCTGTCGAGAGACCTGGAGGTTATCACTGCTTGGGGACGCAACAGTCTTGCACAGTTCAATGCTTCCAAAACACAGTATGTACTGTACTTTGACGAACAAAAAGCGTGTTAGCGCTCATCCGGTTACGATGGATGGCTGTGTTCTGCCGAAGAGCCATGCATTTCGGCTGGTCGGAGTCCAGATCACGGAGGACCTGATCTGGCACGAACACATCTCGTCAATAGCGGCAGCTGCTGGGAAAAAGCTGGGCTATTTGTTCAGGGCTAAGAAGTACACTACACATTCGGGGTAATGAACGACAACAGCTGGCAACATGAACATAACATTAAAACCAACGAAATGATTACAAAAATTGTTGAAATCGCCCCCATCACTTAGTATGCATGCATCCGCCCTCCCTCTCAAGGAATTGCGCACTCGTTGAAATATCCCTGGAGTGTTTTTCATTCTCTATCACAAGTTGCAACTATTCTTTCTCTGAATTCCTATACAGTGTTAATGGGACTTGTGTACACTAGTGCCTTAAGATAGCCCCACAAAAAGAAATCTAAACTGTTGAGGTCTGGGGACCTTGTGGCCATTCTTGGGGCCCACCGTGGCCAATCCAACGATTTGGATAAACAGTTTGTAAATAATTACGAACCGCTACACTGAAACGCGCTGGGTGCGCCATCATGCATGTACCACATATTGCATGCACTCGCGAAACCTCGTTAGCATTGCGAAGACACTCACCGCAAATTAAAGTAATGTGGACAACACGGATATTGCTGTAAGAGTGTGGCATATTTTCAGAACCGATGTGTAAAGGTTTTGTTTACAAACGCGGCCAGCGCCTGGATTGAGTACTGATCCGCATCGTACGTTTGATCTGATCGAGGTCCAGGACCGGATCATATTTTGTTCAGGTTTGATTGATTTTGCGGAGACTTAAGTGAATAGTTTACGTCATGTAAACGAAAGTCTCAACTTTAGGGACTCCTGGTAGTTTTCCAAAAATAATAATAGTTCCTCGGTAATTGGGCTGGGGGCTATGCTAGAAAATAGTTGAAAATTTGATATTACATTTCTTATTGGAACGGTCGCAACCAAGAGTATGTGTTGAGCCATGTCCCTTAAGTACAGAAAACCTGGATATTCATTCGCTGCATTGTTGAATATCTCCACAGTCCTGTTCAAAGTAGTGTTCGCTCCCAGGATCAATGAACTCGAGTCCACATAAGTTGTAGTTACTTCTTTCACACTTGTTATATCTACGTACAGCTGCGGAGGATTTGTTATGTAATAAACACCTGAAATAAGGATAGTTAATTAGCTTTACTATCACATCTATTCATGTAATTATTCAAACTCAATATAATGATTCTTTTCAAATACAAAAGGAAATATTCATTTCAAACTTATTTCTGGCATTACAAACACAACTGGATTAATTATTTGAGGTTCACTTGAGCAAGTTTATACATTTCAAAAGTAGATGTTAAACTGAATAACTGAATAATCAATTCCCTTTCGCACGGTGGAACGGATTAAAGATATCCAGTTTTAATGAAAAATCCACCTTCTTGAATCCTTGTTACATCTTAGTATTGTTCTATTTCAGCAGCGACTCTTCCTTATTGGAAAATCCTTTATAACAATGAAAAGAATGCCTCGCTATACTAATTTTCAAACCAATACTCGTTTTTCAGTACCATACCTCTGGCAGTATTTCCTCCCACGAGCTGATACCGAGCGTCCTCAGCAGATATCAGAATATCCATCAAATCACTAATGTTATGAACTTTCATCCATTTTGATTGTTGAAAAGCGTGGTAGTAGTTTTCTTGCTTACACTTGTGTTCGCAGTTTGTTTTACATTTTCCGTCAATTTTACATAACTTAAGATCTTCGATGTCGTTTATTCCATCTAAAAGTTGAATTTTCATCAGGCATTAGAAACACAAGAACCAGACAAGATTGCATTCTTAATAGCTCAAATATATTTTTTACATATTTTTTTAAGAATAATATCTACCGGGTGTTTCAAATTGCACCCTCACCGTTGGGATTTCGGAAACGGTAAGGGATACAAAGTAACTTGAATGGGGGCAAAGTGCTTAGGTTACTAACGGAATGCCGATTAGAAAGTTTCGAAATTCAAAGTACTTCCGGAGATAGACGAGAAAGAAAAGAAATTTCCCAATATCGTTTTAATTTTTCCTGACTTTATTTGTAGTGGGATTTCAAAATAAATAGCACATTAAAATTGTCACTTTTTCTCCTTTAAGAGATGACATAATTAGAATTTCAATATGACGCCACATTGGATTTTTACACAGACGAATAAAAATTATAATTCTGATTTCAAAAATGTATATACAGGCTGGCGCATCGAAAACGAAACAGACGCATTTACTGGCAGCTCAGTTCTTTTTTGAAAAACGCTCAGACCCGTCGATTTTGTTTTCGAGGGGGACACAAGTTTGGCAAAAAATCACGTTAACACGTGCCCGGTGAAATGTATTTTGAATTACTGGAAGATGCCATAGATGCTGCATTAACAGCCATAATTGAAAATCAGAATGATCGGCGGTACATTGCGAATAGGTTGATGTTCCAACAGGATGGTGCCCCACCACATTACGCATTACGTGTTCGACAATATTTAGATCAGACGTTTCCAGATCGACGGATTGGTAGAAGAGGTGCCATTGAATGGCCCCCAAATCGCCAGATTTATCACCTTTGGATTTCTTTATGTGGGGTCATTTAAAAAGCAAAATCTATGCTACTCAGCTAATATCATTAGAAGACCTGCGACAAAGAATTGTGAATGAGTGTCTTCAAATTACTCCACAAAATCTTTATTATTCCATGGAGAGTCATGGTGGCCATTTTCAACATTTACTTGCCTAACGGGTCAGTTCATTCTTCATTTTTAAATTATTTTGCTGCCAAATATTTAAGCTTTAAATCAATAAATCTTCAAAACTACTGAACTGAAGTACATTAATTTTATATCATTATAAAGGGAATTGAAAGACCTTTAAAACAAGGTATCACTCGACCCCCCTTTCCATTTTAGATTTTGGGGGTGGTGTCACCCCGCTTAGGGGGCTGCACGTGCTAACGTGATTTTTGTCAAACTTGTGTCCCCCTCGAAAACAAAATCGACGGGTCTGAGGGTTTTTCCCAAAAAAAACTGAGCTGCCAGTAAATGCGTCTGTTTCGTTTTCGATGCGCCACCCTGTATATAAAAAGATCCGTTCAAAAGTTCAGGCCCCAAAAGGCGCAGGTTTTTGGCATCTGTTTGTAATACAGCGATATTGTCACATAAATACTTGAAATCCCTTAAATCTGTGGGGCACATACATCTAAATAACTAAAACAATTATAGTTTATAGGTCAAATAGTTTTAAAAATATCTAATTGTATATCTCAAAACATCTGTTTTCCAGCCATTATTACCAGGTTATGAAACAATGAAACAATATACAAAGAACATTTTACGGCAGTATAATGGTTTTATTTTAATAAAAGTTGGTGAATGTATTTATCTTACTGTAAATAACAAGTGATAAAATTTTCAGCCTTATCAGTTGGACATTCCGGTTTTTATACTGCTTTTTTTTAATTCACGCTCTAAAAATGAATATTTCAGCCGAAGTAAAGAATCAACGTTGGCGGATTTTGGTTCTTGACATCCTTTACGATCGGTTGCGATGCCTAGAGTACGGAGACGTGTACGATTTTTAACTTAGTGAGTTTGATAAGGGCCGTATAGTGGGACTTCGGGAAGCTGGACTTTCTTTTCGGGCAATTGCAGTTAGAGTGCAAAGAAGTGTAGACACTGTGGTTAGGTGTTGTCAGGCATGGCTTCGAGAAGGCCGTACGCAAAGAGCAAGGGGCACTGGATGCCGCCGTAGAACAACAGACCATGAAGATCGCCGCCTAAGATTATTGGCCTTAAGGGACCGTTTCTCCACTACCAGGTCCATTGCAAATGAATGGTTTGCAGAACACGGAAGACCTATTGGCATGCGAAGTGTTTACTGACGAATGAGAAGTTTTGGCTTGTTTTCATACCGGCCATCGCCTTGAGTGGTGCAGACAACGGTCACTCTGGGATCAGGAATGGAACAATATTGTCTTTAGTGACGAGTCTCGATTTTGTTTAGGCATGCACGATGGTCGTGCCAGGGTTAGAAGGCGACGTGGTGAAAGGAGGAATCCACAGTTTTTTGTTGAAAGACATGTTCATCACACTGTTGGAGTTATGGTTTGGGGTGCTATAGCTTATGGTTCCAGGTCACCTTTAATCTTCATCAGAGGTAACATGAACGCGCAGCGTTATATCCACGAAGTTCTAGAACCCCATCTTCCACCCTATCTTGACACCCTGGCAGATCCAACTTTCCAACAAGATAATGCCCGGCCACATGTTGCAAGAGTCACAATAGACTTCTTTCAACATAATGATGTCACATTGTTACCATGGCCACCAAGATCTCCCGACTTATCCCCAATTGAGCACGTGTGGGATATGATGGGTAGGAGATTGCTCAATTTGCAACGTCCTCCTCAGACTCTAGAAGCACTTCGAGAGGAGTTGGTGGTTGCCTGGAATGAGATACCACAGGAGGACATTGACCACCTGATCAGAAGCATGCGTAGGCGCGTTGGAGAATGCGTAGCACATCAGGGTGCATCCACACATTATTAAAGGTCAAAGGGCTTTAAAGCAGTGCAATCATTTTGAAATTTTTATCATTTACTTATTATGCTTCATTAAGTACTTATACAAAATTTTATTAAAATAAAACCATTTAAAATGGGTGTTCGGATTTATATGTCACTTAGTATAAATTTGGCACGTAAGTCATGGAAGGCTACTCAGTGAGAAGTTCCTTTCAATCTGCTTGACCAGCGTCTAGAAAGATCGATTTCCCTATGCCTAATTTTTACATCGTGCTGGTCTTTGGCATTTGTTTCCGGACTTTCAATCCATCATCATTAATTTCTTTGTTTGGTGTGGAAACATGCGACTACATTCCTGAAACACCCTGGCAAAAGCTCGCGAGTGGTACCGCCTCGGTCTCCATCGTCTTTTTGCTTGTTGATGATGTAAAAAACACCTAAAGTGGCCGCTATCCGGCAGTGCCATTGAAAATCAATATATTGTCACGGATGCCGTCCCTAACGGTCAGTTCTAGATGTACTAAGCTAGATCAAGTTAAAATAAAAAGTGTGCTACTGTATGTGTGAAGTGAAAATTACCTTACTTTCGCTATTGTTTTGTTAAAAACGTGCTTTTTCTGATAACATCGATAATCAAGAATGTATCTACCTTTTTCTTTCTTCACGAGACTTCTAAATGACTGGACTATAGGTCTATATCCAGTGCATCTGCACAGTACACCTCCAAATGAGTTTTCCACAGTTCTTTCCGTTAACTGTGATCCGTTTCCTTCCATCAAGGCGTACATGTTCATCACCATGCCTGGTGAACAGAATCCGCATTGTGTGCCGTTTCCTTGTGCCAAAGCAGTCTGTACGGGGTGAAATCCCTGTAGAGGACCTCCGATTCCTTCTACTGTGTGAATTTTCCAACCGTGGCATGATAGAATTGAGACCAAACACTGAAAATAATTTACAAAAACCTTAAATAGTGTAATTTTATTAGGAAGTGACGGGAGGACTTGTATTAGAATCAGTTGATAACAAAAGGTAAATTTACTGTACAGCAGTTCCCTACTATATGAAATACCTACATGGTTACATGTCATCAGACTATAGAAGCAGGACAGGAAATACAAACTTATGTACTAATCTATGAAAGTATTCAAGAGCAAATGAATATAGTAATCATAAATTACAAGTTGCGAGGTGTTTCATTTGTTATACTTAAGTGATCGTTTTCCAGTAAAAAAATACGATACTAACAAAAATTAATTACTTAAAGAAATCCCTATTCCTACTCTACACAAGACTTGACCTTGACCTGTTTTTTGCTGACATTCAGTTTTATTATGTGTCAAAATAATGCCATACATTTTTTCTTTAAAAGTGGGTCACATGATTTCAAGAAATGATATGTGAAAACTTTTAATTATGATATAATGTGAGTCTCATATTCAATCTTATATCCAGACATGAGGTTTAATCATTTGTTCAATTCCTTTACATCAATGAAGCTACGAGGTAGTAAGCAGTTTTTTGCTTTGTCAATCGAATAATTATGCTACTTTAGTATCATTTTCAGTTCCTGATGATGGTATTGACCGGAATTATGAGAAAATAAAAGTTAAAAGACATTTATTTTACCTCATTTCCCAAAGTTAATTGTTTCCTTAAAATATATATGCCAGCGCTGCATTTAAATTCAACTTATCTGACGTTATTTTTAGTCCAAACCATGCTTTTCAGTCTAAATCAATTATACGGCGGTAGGATCAGGTAAAACAGCAGCCTGGTTGAAAAAATGTTCCCATTCCCTCCACATGAAAAGCATTCAGGCTCTATTATGTTCCGTCCTCATCGAAGTGAATATTTAGAATACATATCGTAGTACCCTCGTAGTAGTACCCAACCGCCACGATTTCAAAGCGCACACGCAGAGAAGGAAAGCCGCGCCGCGACCCTTCCCCCTACCCTTCTTGCGTTAGTAGTATGTTGTTGGAACTAGCTTTGAACATCTACGATATGTAATCTAAATATTTACTTCGACGGGGATGGAACATAATTACATGATCAAACGGACTTACCTGTAAGTGATTGCTCTTAATTATGTGAAGTCCTCGTCGGAGTAAGTAGCTTCCTCTTTCCCTATGTATCTTCCAATTGTTGCAACAATTTGGCTTTGAAGTAAATGAAGGTTTATAGACGGCCAGAGGGGAGAAGGGAAGGGGGAAGGGGCGCGGTGCCGTTTTACTTCTCAGCGTGGGCGCTTTGAAATCGTAGCGGTTGGGTACTACTACGAGGGTACTACGATATGTATTCTAAATATTTACTTCGACAAGGACTTCACATAATTAAGATCGAACATCACCTACAGGTAAGTTAGTTTGATCATGTAATCTTAAAGGGTTTGATCGGTTAAATTTTTTCAGACTCTCCTCGACATAGCTATACTGTCCATACGTCTCAGCGTCATTACGGTGGTTTTTTGCATTCTTAGGCTTCCGTTTTTTCAGAAAGTAATCAACTTGAAGACAACTGTACTCACAAATTATTATGACTAATACATGTATATACGAACCGAATTGACAGCGAAAACGTTCCTCTTCCCATTGACATGTTCCTCGACTGCTACTATGCACGTTCCACAGCCACCTTCCAGACACATCCGTTTTGTTCCAGTCAGATTTGATTTCTCTCTAAGGTAGGTGTTTAAGGTCATCTCTGGTGTCACGTCGGCAGTATTAACTAAGAAATTTAGAAAAATAAACAATAAAAATACGTCTATCTATGACCACTCCTTCCCGAAAAATATTTCAAGAGCTCAATACGAGTAACATTGCAGAAATGTTGGACATGTTTTACAACGAAACGAAGAGATGAAGCTCCTAAAGCTTCGACATTCCTGGGGAACATTATATTTATTCAGTGTTGTGGTTGTAATATCCTAAAATGTCGAGGAACTCTAAAGAACATACAACTTTTATTTAGCTGAACGTGAACTAGAATTCTTAAAATATTTTTTCGGATTGGAAATATTTCAACTATAATGAAGCACCTTCATCTCAACTTCTCAAATTACGTAAAGCCTGGTACGCCGTTTTTCTATTATACTGTCAAAACGTAACACGCTTTTATCTGAAGACTTGACCCCATAAAACTTTTTACTTTATTTATATTATGAAATTTCGATAGATGTAAAGGAAAAAATTATAACAATTTTGGGACAATTCGATTTTTTCGTCTCTCTCCAGAAGTACTTTGAATTTTTGAAGTTTTTTAGCGGCACTTTGTTGATTTCCTAAATACGCAACTTTTCCACCAATTAAGCGACCTCATATCTTTTCCAGTTTCCGAGATCCCAATGGTGAGGGCCGCCGTATTGGATTCATAATGATGTCACTTTGCTTATTATGTTTCCCTCATCAAGCACTTTTATTTGATACTCATATTAAGGAAATTGTAAATCGCCATTTTGCCGCCACATTGGGTTTGGAATGACGGCACGTGGCTTGTTACGTTTCCTCATCAAGCCCTTTAATTTGATATCTACAGTCCTGGATAAAAGTATATAGACAAATTAACCCTTAACCGATCATGTGGAGTCTGACAGATAAACAGTCCCGTATCTTCAATCGGGTCACATAATCCCTCGCCTATTGGTGCCAGACAAGTCATACGATACTCAGTGCGTTCGCTTTATTTGAAGACGAAACACAGGCATTATTTGATGTGTAGGGGTCTGCCAGACGTCACCTGTGCGTTTATGTGAAAATTGTTTAAATTGAGATATGGCCGGCCCATCGGATAAGTGACAAAAATTTTGAGGAAACTGTCCTCAAGTAGTACAGTGAAGTTGACGACACTGCCAGTGATATAGATAGTGCTGCAGAGAACGAAAATATTGCGTCAGAACACGACATGGACTCAGACTTCTCGACAGGCGGTAATACTGACCAAGAAAGTGACACCCATCAGACGGACAATAAATACTTCTATAGCAAAAGCCGCTTTCGATGGACCTCTACCGAAGTTGTTCCTTCATCGCGAACTAGGAAGCCAATATTGTTATGGTATAGAGGAGTTACTAACCATTGACGAAATACTTGTTAGTTTCATAGGACGTGTCCATTTCAAAATGTATATGCCTAACAAGCCCTGTAAGTACGGGATAAAGGTGACGTGCCTTACAGACGCCAGAACTAGTTATCTCTACAATGCCTACATATACAGGGTGTTTCAGTTTACTGTTGCATAACTTTAAGATTCGATAGAACTTTTAAAATTAATGCATAAAGTCTATATAAACATGGGTCGAAAAATGCGTGGCTTCCGAAATACAGGGCGTTTAAATTTACTTTTTAAAATAGTTTTTTTAAATATTTCGAGATATTTCGATTTTTAAGGTTCGATGCATTTTTAATTATTTATGGGAAAATAATATTTTTTTTACATTTTCGATTTGGGCATTACAAGTAATTAAGATGATCGTTTAGATTCTGTTTTTAAACACAGCAATAATTCCTAACTCCAGATAAACACAAAAGAACAGAATATTAATTTGTTTAATTTTCCAATATTATTTTTAACAAATTAAATTAACTATTTACAACTAAAATGCTATTGGATAGTTAGGACAAACATACAAAATCTAAAGTAGTTGCTCGAAATGCAAACCCAATTGTTCAATACACAATTCACATCTACGAATGATCGAACGTGATATAGCATTATTCAAATAAGGCCTTATTTCATCACATGCATTCCTGATTCTGTCTATTAGCATATCTCTTGTGGTTACGGGAGTCTGGTACACTTTTTCTTTTAGAAATCCCCACACAAAGAAATCTAATGGATTTAGGTCAGGGGATCGTGGTGGCCAGGCGACTGGTCCTCCACGGCCGATACATCTGTCTGGATAATTTTCGTCCAGCCAGTTTCTAACTATTCTCGAATAATGAGTTGGACAACCATCAAGCTGGAACCAGGCCAATCGTCTTAAATCTAACATAACATCATCCCACATATTTGCATGTTCAGCCTTTAAAAATTCCAAGAAAGTCGCAGCATTTAACCTTGCAGGCAAAAGGTAGGGTCCAAATAGTTGATTACGGTAGATACCAATCCACACGTTCACACTAAATTCATGCTGATAATTTCTTTCCCGAACTGCATGCGGATTTTCATGCGATCAAATATGTTGATTATGAAAATTTACCACTCCACGTCTAGTGAAGCATGACTCATCGGTCCATAAAACGTTACTTAAAAACTCCCTATTATTATCAGTTCTATCAAGAATCCACTGACAAAATATGATTCTTCGCTCTCCGTCCCCTGGCTGTAGTCCTTGCACAGGTTGCAAATGGTAAGGACGTCTATGGTCATTTCTAAGAACACGGTGAACATGGCTTGCTGAAATTCCCAAGGCACCAGAAACTCTCCTAACACTTGTGGTCGGATCTCTATCAAACTCACGCAGAATCATACGGGTAAATCTGCGCTGACGGACATTTATGTTTTGATCCCTTTGGAGATTTCCAAAACCATTTTCAATTATTTGGCGATACACTCTTACAAATACTGAGCGAGTTGGATGTCGTCTGTTTGGAAGTCTTCGTGCGTATTCTCTGGCTGCTTCTGCTGCGTTTCCATTTACAAAGCCATACACAAAATGAATAACCGCTAACTCTTGATTGGAGAATAAAAATGGTGACATTTTTATAAAACTTACAAAAAAAAAACAGGTAAAAGAAACTAAATTTCTTGCATTCACAATTGCAAAAAAACGTTTCAGGTTTCAACAGACCACAAAACTAACTGTCAACTAATTGACGTTTAACCTTATTCTGCTTTCAATTTCAAAAATATTTGCAGGCACAGCCTACTTCTAAAAATTATCGAGATACTGACTTTTTAACGTTATTTTATCATAAATAATTAAAAATGCATTGAACCTTAAAAATCGAAATATCTCAAAAACGGCTAACTATAACGAAAATTCACAAGAGAGCTTTTTTATGTTGAAAAGTGCGAAGAATCAGGTTTTTTATTCCAAAAGCAAAAAATTTCACTAAGAAAATTTTTTCGGTCATGTTAATACACTACAGGTACAGTAGAGAGCGCCCTCTAGCGGCTACAGTAAAACTATGCCCATGGTTCGTTTTGTCGTATCAAAAAAGCCTTGTATACCAATTTTTACTGTTATACATCAAATATTGTTCGAAATATTTAAAAAAAATCTATTTTAAAAAGTAAATTTAAACACCCTGTATTTCGAAAGCCACGCATTTTTCGACCCATGTTTATATAGACTTTATGCATTATTTTTAAAAGTTATATCGAATCTTAAAGTTCTGCAACAATAAACCCTGTATACCAAATTTACCGCAAAATCATTTTTATTTTTCCTGACTTATGTTGAGAGTTTCTCTTATTAGATTCAATTTGAGGCCTTCGAAACTTTCCTATGCTCCCTGTGCATAAATTGACTATACCTTTTTATTTCGTTATAGTTTTCCAAATTGATGGCCAAACAAAAAATATATCGTTGAATTTAGCAGTGAAAAATCCATTTCAATGTACACAATTTCAATATAGTGTCCATATAAAAACAAAGTTGATGATAGAAGTCAAAAGAAGGAACCTCGCCTTAAAGATTTGGCTACTCCAATTTATTTTAAAATCCCATCTCAAAGTCGGGAAAAAATTAAAATGATTTTGTGATGTCTGAATTGATAATTTCAAGACCTACCTAAAGAATTCTGTTTTTTTTTTAAACTCAGGCTTCGCAATGTCAATTACAACATTATACATTTTTGGAATCGGAATTAAAAACCATATTTTCCTGTGCAAAAATCCAATATCGTCCTTAATAAAAAATAAGGTTGATGTGCCAGGAGAAGAGATGAAACGTCATATTGAAATACTAATTATGCTACTTCATAGATGAGAAAAAATGGTAATGTTAGTGTGCAATTTATTTTGAAATCCCACAACCAATAAATTTTGGGAAAATTCGCCTTTTTCCGGAAGTACTTTGAATTTTGAAACTTTTTAAGCGGCACTTTATTGTCACCTAAATACCCAACTTTTCCCTCACTTAAGGCAAATCGTATATCTTACTATTTCCGAGGTCCCAATAGCGACGGTCCAATTTGAAACACCCGGTATAAGATGTATTTTTGCGGCTTTGAGTTTTCGTCACTTAGCGAAAGACAGGTAAAATATCACAGACTTACCTGTATATTCTTTGCCACTAACATGAAACCGAATTTGATGTAAACTTTTAAGCTTTTCTTCTATCCGGCGCTGCATCATTTTTCTCAAATATCAGACAACTGGAAAGTTACAGGTTTGGTCAATAAACTCATCAATCTTGACCTTCCTCACCGGTGGCGATACAAGAACTGACCAAGATGTGACCAGTTTTACTTCTTAGTTTAACAGTTTCTACGTGTATTCGGTCAGTGGTGGTTTCAGATTGGTTTTAGATCAGGTTACAAGTAGAGAGTGCAAGCTCATTAAAACATTTACCATTAGAATGTAGAAATTGTACGAGTATCAGTTGTAATTAGTGTATACTGGCCACATACAATTTGAACAGAATGCAGTCCAACGATATTTTGTTCTTTTTGTAATGGAATATTGGTGTCCAGAACATAATATTAAAGTTAGGTTTTTAAGAAACTTTGTAATCAGAATTAACGTTTGAATGTGAATTAGTCCACTTATTAGACAAAAAATTGTATTCTTTGAAAAAGTCAGGAAACGCCGAAAAATCTACTGATTCTTGGTTATTTTTGGCACTGCAACTTTTGCTATACAGGGTTATCCAAATTAAGTGTCCACCATTGGTAACTTTGTTATTAGTAAAAATACAAAGTTGTTTAAATTAGCAAACTAGTAGCATTTTTAACGCTGGTAAAAATGAGAAATAAAAAAAAACAATTGAGAGTCGTTATTTTGATTTTTTTCAGTAAAATAACATTTTTTTAAATGGAAACCCCTGTATATTATATTTTTTTCTGTTAAAGCATCAAATTTTAAACAAAAAAGTTCATGATGACTTTTCCGCTAAAGTCAAAAATAAAGTCAAAATAACGATAAATATTTTTAATTATTTGCAGTATTATAATATTAAGACGGCTATGAAAACAACATGGCGTTCGCGATTTGACAGCATTAAGATAAGCGACAAATTGTTAAACTGGACATACTCGCAACTAGAAGGCTTTGGAAAACAATGATAAAATCAAATAATGTCAAACATTAGTGTAAATACTTGTTTATAAGCTTTATTGTGTCATTAATTTAAAGAAAAATGTTCTCCCATGAAGAAAAGTGTGATATGTTAGAATGCTATTTAGTGTGCAGAAAATCCTCCTTGAGAGCAAGAGAATACTACAGTGAATTATATCCCGCTCGCATTCAACCGTATGAACGATATTTTCTGAGACTTTATCGAAAATTTAGGGGCAACGAAAATGTTTTTGCTAAAACAAGGCAAAAAAAGAATTCATAATAAGCGAGGCCACGGAAATTGCAGTTATTGGATATTTTGAAGCTTATCGTGAGAATTCAATAGCAGATATTCTCAAGGACTCTAATTTCAGTTATGGTGCTGTTCAAAGGATTTTAAAAAAATACAAATTTATTCCGTATAAGTACCGACCAGTTCAAACGCTTTTGGCAGGGGATCCAGAGAGAAGACTTGTTTTTTGCCATTGGTATCTTAGCTTCTGTCGCCAAAATGTAAATAACTTTCGTTACCTTTTATGGACAGATGAATCAAATTTTTCAAATTCTGGAATGTTTAATAGAAAAAACCACCATTATTGGTCAAGAGAAAATCTTTTGTTAGTACATCCAAGAGGCCCACAAGTCCGTTTCAGTTTCAACGTTTGGTGCGGTATAATTGGTTCAAAAATTGTTGGCCCGTTCTTTTATGAGGGAACCCTAACTGGTGAAAGATATGTGGAATTTATGTCAGAAATTCTGACTAATTTCTTAGATGAATTGGATCTTATAAGTAGACATCATCTGCATTTTCAGCAAGATGGCGCACCTGCCCACAACTCCAGAGGTACTTATCATTTTCTAAGTACTACTTTTAATGATCAGTGGATAGGAACAAATGGCCCAATACAGTGGCCTCCCAGATCACCAGATCTAAACCCACTTGATTACTTCTTGTGGGGTTACTTAAAGAACCAAATTTACAAGCGAAGGTACGATAACCTTGACGCGTTAAAGACTGCAGTTAGGGAAAAGATAACCCAGATAGATGGTAGGACCATACTTAAGACAGTTCGAGCAGTTGAAAAACGTGCCCAAAAATGTATTGAAGAACAAGGTGGTGTTTTCGAGCATCTTCTTTAAAAAAAATTGTTATTGTATTTTGTAAGATTATAAGTTGATGTTGAAAATAAAGTTTGTCGATACAATTTAATTGTTTCAGATTGGAGGCCATAACTTCAACAATTTGTAACCTAGGAGAAAAGTTATTGTAAGCTTTTTAGTTTAAAATTTGATGCTTTAACAGAAAAAAATATAATATACAGGGGTTTCCATTTAAAAAAATGTTATTTTACTGAAAAAAATCAAAATAACGACTCTCAATTGTTTTTTTTATTTCTCATTTTTACCAGCGTTAAAAATGCTACTAGTTTGCTGATTCAAACAACTTTGTATTTTCACTAATAACAAAGTTACTAATGGTGGACACTTAATTTGGATAACCCTGTATACGCTGATACTTCTGAATGATAAAAAAATAGATACATCAATCGAAACAAAGCAAAACAAGCGTTGAGTGGTTTGACCCTGCACTTCCTATCCAACGCAGTCATTAGTTCATAAAGGATTAAGTACAGCGCAATTTAAATCCTCTGAGGAAAAAGTCAGTTACGTAGATGTATAACACAAAAATTAAACGTAATAAGATAGTTAAACAGACCCATACAATTAATCCATAGACATTTTTTCCCTGCTCTACTGGTAGTTACCGTCCATGTGGCAACGTTGTTCAATTCCACATCTGCGCGGCATCGCTGCAGTGAGCCATATTTCGTTTGGTATGTGGTCGGTATACTATATATGTTATTTTGTGCTTCAGTGTGGATAGATTAGTCAGCCAGACCGGTTCGCCGAGCGGTGAGCTTAGATTTTTTTACACCGAAGCAGCAGCGCAGACAGAAGTTTAAATGCCAGGTCAGCGCTGCTGCTATGAGGATCCCAAAAAAACTTTCTTAATTGCATAAAGTTAGCAGAACTGGGAAAAGCCTCTTCCTGCAGACTGTTCCACAATCTTGACACCCTAGGGTCAAAGACCGATTTACGAAGTTTGACACGGTTAGGATGGGAGGCCCAAGTCAGGCGGGTCTGTCTGGCAGGCACATTGTACGGCGGCATTATGGAGGAGAGCTCATTGGAGACTGCCTGTTAGAGAAGAGTCATCGATCAGTCAGACAGCCCTCCTCTGTACAGCATCAAGCATGAATAATGTCTGGGGGTAGCGCCTCAAACGTGTGAGTAATCCCAACTAGCAAAGTAGTGCTATAAACTTTTGGTAAAAGCTTAATGTTGAGTGGAATGCAAATTTGCTTTCTGCAACATATTTTATACGGCATATTTGCAGGTTAGTCGTGGCATCCATGGTAATGTTTATAAAACAAACCCGAGCCTTGTTGTTTTGCTGTGCAAATTTACTACTTTAGCCAACAAATTGCTCCCAACGGAAGCACTTATACAACTGTTGTTTAGTAACTGCTAAATATGTTGGTATACAACTTCACCATAACCTAACTTTCTGCTGTCATATTTTAGTTAAAATGCCATAACCAATGTTTTAAGACAAACAACGCATGCATATTGGTTCAAAATGTTTTATCAACTGTTCAAACAGAATATATAGATCTGGTACAAATTCTGGGTGAATCATTCGACTCTGTCGGTATTTCATTTCAGACATTTGTCAATTGTTGTATAACACCTGCAGGCAACACCAAAATCTTCTAATAACCTAAAGACAACAACGATGATGCCATAATTATGCACAACCACCCGCCATATTGGGCAAACATTTAAGCATCCCACAAACCGGCGCGAAATAATCGCGGCGAAGTATTCGCAACGAAATTCAGAGCGAAATTCGCAATCTGTTTCGCCTGTTTATTCATACCAAAGCGACTTATTCGCTCCGCGAACGTGAAGGTTTCGACAGGTTGCGTACATTTTATTTTTGCCTTTTGCAATGAGCTCGTCTTCAGAAGAAGAGGAGGCACTTCTATTTCTTGCTTTAGAAGAGGAACAAAATGCACGGTAAGTTATGTTTATTTAACGCCATTTGATAGTTGGGTATGTATTAAGTTTAACGAAGTACATAAAACAAATATTTTCAATTTTGTTTAGGAAACGAAGGAAGTGGGTACATGATATTAACTTGGAACGAAATAAATTTGGGGAATACCATACCTTGATGCCACAACTTCAGCTGGATGAACAGCGCTTTTACGTATATTTTAGAATGACTCCAGAGTGTTTCGATGAAATATTGAACTTGTTGAAAGATGAAATACGAAAATCTGACACAAATTATCGTGAAGCTATTTCGCCAGAAGAACGACTTACTATTACACTCAGGTAAAAAAATTATATGTATTAAAATTAGTAGGCTTATCGAATACGAAAACTTCAGGGATCGTGAAATAAATATTTTATTGTAATAATTGGACTACATGTTGCCACTAGGATTAAATGTTGCTAAATAATTCGAGGCAGAATTTGCCTCCTCTGTTGGGTATATTATTGGAGTAAACCCAGTGCCGCTTGGGAAGGACGACATACTACTATCATACATACTTGCAGAATTCTGGGTAGACGCTGAAGACATTTCTTCAATATGTTCAAATTCTTCGTGCGTTATTAATTCGGCTATTTTTAGTTTTATTCCGGCTTGACGCTTTAAGGGAAGTGTTTTCACAGTCTGTGCATGTGCCAAGAAAAGTGAATCAATGGCCTCGTTCTCTTTTTTAGGTTTTTTACCTTCAAAATAATTAATGAGCTGTTGTACAGACGTAGATGGTGGTTCATAGCGTTTTCTGCTCGTTTTGTATTTTGGTGTAGTTGCAGTCTGCGGAAAGGTGTGCCCTGGAGTAGTCACTGCTGTAGTGTTCAATGAAGAAGGTGGTGCTGTCTGTGTTGCCGAGGCGTTCTGTGCATCTTCTGCATCTACATCAGCATTTTCATCTTCTCCATGGCCGCGGTCTTCCAAATTTTTGGTTTCTACATTTCCAGCCCTTTCCTGATATATATTTGAGTTAAATTCGGCAGTCTCATAATGTATGACGTCAATATCTTTCACATTAGACGACGTTTTGGCAAATGCCAAAAAAGGACGGAAAAATTCCATGTAGTCAGCCCACTGCCATTTCTTTATGTTGCCCACTGCTTGGCCGGTCTTTGGTTTGGTAGATTTTATATATTTTGCAAATGTGTCTATGATATTCTTCCACCTTTTTTTTACTTCATCACCTAAAAACGATTTTTTTATAGATTCCTTGCCACTGGTGACACCTCCTATACCATTGGGCATAGCTTTCGAGTTGGCTTTACAACAGTGAGTGCAATCGTAACCGAAGTCTGTGAAGCGATATGCAGACATATGGAACATATATATTTACCAGAACCAACAGAGAATATATGGAAAAAATGTGCTGAAGAATTTGAAAATAGATGGGGATTTCCCAATTGCATTGGCAGCGTGGACGGTAAACATGTAACAATCAAGAGACCTAACAACAGTGGCTCCAATAACTGGTGCTATTTACATAAATATTCAATAGTACTTATGGCCATTGTTGGCCCGGACTATAAATTTATGTGTTGATATTGGTGGTTTCGGAAAAAATAGTGATGGGGGTATTTTCGAAACCTCAAACATGGGAAATCGATTTGAACGAAATTTAATGAGTGTCCCTGCACCTAGATTTCTCCCTGGGCAAAATGAAATCTGCTCGTACGTCTTAATTGGTGATGAAGCATTTGCTTTAAAACCATACCTTATGAGACCATTTCCTTATAAGCAGACTTTAACTTAAAAGTGGCGATGACAAATAGTTTCAATTCTTAGATCCCCCAGAACCCGTGCTTGGAGCTTTTACTGATATAGCAAATGATCCTCGGCGGGCAGCAAGGCTAGCATTTTCTACTCGTGACAAATTCGTAAATTATTTTAATTCTGATATGCCTATGCCCAATATATAGAATGTTCGTTTTCACATTTGTGTAGACTGTAAATTATTTAACAAGTTAATAAAAAATATTAGGTACATACCATTTGTATTTAATTCTTTTCCTATTTCCATCCAAACCTTGTCTTTCTTTCTCACATTCCTGTATTCATCGTTCGACAAATCATACAAACAAGGATACTTTTTCACTATTTCTATCAATAATTACGTTTTTGCCATTGCGAATTTTTGAAGAACGGCGTCAAAAACGCGGTCAAAGGCGAACTGAAATACGCCGCGATAAAAACGCTGGAACAATCGCATTCGCTTCGCACAAGTCTGAGCCTGTCCGTAAACCGCCGCGTTTTAATCTGATCGCGAATTCACCGCCGCGAAATTTTCGCAGCCAAAGCGAATATTTCGCGCCGGTTCAGTTTTCCATCTTAAAAATCTAGACATACTTTTGATCATTATCAAAATATGAATCAAATACGAAGCCCGTAGAATTTTCGTAACTACTTTGCACGAGAATCACAATAAAATTTGCTGCGCAAGTAATTCAATAGCCCTATATCATAGTGTAGAAGTTTATCAGATACCTGTATATGAAATTCACAATGGCCGATATGTAAGTAAACAAGATGACTGTAATGTGTTAGTTATATATTCTTCTTTGTCTATACAATACATAAGAAATAGTTTTGTTGCAATAAAGTAAAATCACGTAACAAAATAGTTGTATAGTTGACAAAAACTGAATCTTGCACTGAGGCAAATGTCCTATCGCGGCAGCAAGAGGCTTACACTTTTGTTGTCTAACTGTTACCTGCAGCCCTTATACAACCTTTTAAATGACTGAAGTGTCCTATTAGGTGTGCCCATTCTGCTTGTATAGCAGTTCTAAGAGGGTCTTGCCAATGTTCTTACAGTATACAATGCTGTGTAGGGAATACTGTATAATCATTCTCGCAACTCTAATAGGAGTGATAATTGTTAGTTGGGATATTCAAGGTTAGATCGTATATGAGCTTTGTATAGAGTGAAGAAGTCTTGTGGATAAAAGACCTTTTTAACTTTGAACAAATACGGTCCTAGGTGATCTCCAAGCAGCCGAAATGAATGTCTCTTTGACAGAGCTCGGCAATCCATCGAAACCGGATGACGCTTTCTGTTCGTCAAGGTACAGTGCTGTGTTTTGGAAGCATTAAACTGAACAATACTGTTGCGTCCCCAAGCGGTGATAACCTCCAATCGCTGCTAGTCTTGCGGCCAGAGCAAAGCTTCTCTGGGAGGCCATAGGATGGAAGTATGCATAAGAGTACAGCGTATCTCGAACGCTTTCGCGAGCAGCGACATGAGCCTCACCATAAGACAATTACGTAACATAGCTAGGAGCTCCCCTGTGAATTACTGGTACCGGAAACCATACTGCCTGTCGCTAATTAAGCCGTGACGTTCGAGATAGTCCAGAAGCTCGCGAGTTATGCACCTCTCCATCACCTTACCTATAACAGGACGCAGAGCTATAGGCCTATAAGTGTAGGGGTCGGTCTTGGATCCCTTTTTTGAATGGGTTGGAAATGAACAAATTTCCAATTTTTTGGAATGGTGCCACATTTACTGCACATCTCTTCAGTACAACTTAAGTAATCAAGACCGGACCAGAACCTGTGTTGATGTCGACCGACCGTCTTACGGACTGACTGTTACATCTCTCCAAGGAATGGCATAGAGGAAGTCTTTGAGCCCCTCCCAGTCGGCATGTCCGAAATGCCAAATTTTGCGGCCTGGTCGAGTTTTTGCTGCCACAGTGGGTTCTGACCGAATCTTAAGCTTCGCAACACTGTGGTCGGAGTTACCCAGGGAAGACAGGGCAGCAGTGAGGATGAAAAAGTAGGGCTCGTCACCAGCTGGGTCAAGTGCTTCAACTGCACGACTTGCTGCGTGGGTCTTGCTTGAGCCCAATTGAGTTCATTACGGGCATTGAAATCACTGAGGAGAAGTACCTCTGAAGCGGGTTGATTAATGTTCAGGAAGTCGATCTTGACAGCGAGGTATTCAAGTATGGCATCCCAATTATGGTCCGAGGGAGGCAGCAAATGAATTTGAGGCATGTTTTGGAGTTGAGACGAAGCCACAGAATGTCCTTCCGGCCCGATTCCAAAGAAACGTTTCTGGAACAGGAAAGACTACTGTGGACAAAAGATACGCAGGAGTACGCAGATTCCATCCAAGTTTTAAAGGCAGATGTACGGGTTAATCTATGATATGTGAAATATGGGCCCAGAGATGCTCCTCTATCGAGAAACAGAAGTGTTATTTTCGAAATTTAAAAATAAAAAATTATATCTTCGGAAAGGCTACAGATACTGAGTTAGGATTTCAAAAATTCAGTGAGCATATCATCAGAAATATCACAGCATTTCCCGGCCCAAACTAAACCAGGGACGTAGAAACTGGGGTACCTTGACCCCTAATAGGAAATATTTTATACGCCACTGGCTTTTTCAGAGAAAAGCGCATTTTATAAAATGCCATTTAATTTTCGATAAATTTTGTTTCTTAAGAAATGTTTGGCAGATCACTCGTTTTGGAGATACTTAAGTAAAGGTAAAATCATAATGTATTCTTATGAAAAGGTTTAGTCTCCCCTATTCTGAAAACACAGTGAAGCTTTATATCGGAAACACTATATGCCATGTGAAGAAAGTTACACCGGTAATTGAATAATATACGTGTCTTGTCCTCGTGTCCTTGTAAGAAGCATGGAAGTCTACAGGGTGTTTCAGTTTATTGTTGCATAACTTTAAGATTCGATAGAACTTTTAAAATTAATGCATAAAGTCTACATAAACATGGGTCGAAAAATGCGTGGCTTCCGAAATACAGGGTGTTTAAATTTACTTTCTAAAATAGTTTTTTTTTAATTTTTCGAACAATATTTGATGTATAACAGTGAAAATTGGTATACAAGGGTTTTTTGGTACGACAAAACGAACCATGGATCAGGAATGCATGTGATGAAATAAGGCCTTATTTGAATAATGCTAAACCACGTTCGATCATTCGTAGATGTGAATTGTGAATTGAACAATTGGGTTTACATTTCGAGCAACTACTTTAGATTTTGTATGTTTGTCCTAACTATCCAATAGCATTTTAGTTGTAAATAATTAATTTAATTTGTTAAAAATAATATTGGAAAATTGAACAAATTAATATTCTGTTTTTTGTGTTTATTTGGAGTTAGGAATGATTGCTGTGTTTAAAAACACAATCTAAACGATCATCTTAATTACTTGTAATGCCCAAATCGAAAATGTAAAAAAAATATTATTTTCCCATAAATAAGTAAAAATACATCGAACCTTAAAAATCAAAATATCTCAAAAACGGCTAACATAACGAAAATTCACAAGAGAGCTTTTTTATGTTGAAAAGTGCGAAGAATCAGTTTTTTTATTCAAAAAGCAAAAAATTGCACTAAGATAAATGTTTCGGTCATTTTAATACACTACAGGTACAGTAGAGAGCGCCCTCTAACGGCTACAGTAAAACTATGCCCATGGTTCGTTTTGTCGTACCAAAAAACCCTTTTATACCAATTTTCACTGTTATACATCAAATATTGTTCGAAATATTAAAAAAAAACTATTTTAGAAAGTAAATTTAAACACCCGGTATCTTGGAAGCCACGCATTTTTCGACCCATGTTTATATAGACTTTATGCATTAATTTTAAAAGTTCTATCGAATCATAAAGTTATGCAATAATAAACTGAAACACCCTGTATACACGCCACTGGTATACTTCTCCTGGTATTACCCAGATATGGGTAAGACTTGCTCTGACTCGATTGGATTTATCAGACCATTAAACATATTTATCTATCAATAAATGAACTGAAACTACAAACATTTATGTGCTAATATATTTTATTAATAAAATTTATATAACATACTGGTTAAAGTTATTTAGAGAATGCCGAAAAGTAAAGTCCGTTGAAGTGGTTCCATCTGGAAAAGAAATAAATGTTATCTCTGTCCAAAAGCATGAAGCTGGCTGCTCGATAGCAACAAACCGGAAGATAACTTTCAAATACAATATGCAATTAAAAAGCTTGTGGATGCAGTATCTTACTATTAATACTATATACAGCGTGTCAATTAAGTACATACCATAAATTTAACAGACAAATTCTTGGAGTAATTTCAAGACAAACAGTTTATATCAACATAGCTCTGCAAATTCCTGGTTCTCAAGATAAAGAGTATTGAAATTTTAAATGAAGTTTTTTTTCGTAAATATTTTAAATATCCTTTACCAAATTTTCTTGTTTTTGGCGGGAATTTATAACATCAAGGAGCTAATTTAGCCCTAACTTGATCAAATTTATCAAGTCCAGTGGCGTCTCGAGCGGGATCTCAACGTATGTTTGTGACAAAAAACTGTACGCCATTGACTTCTGTGCAATTTTCATTATTTTCCTTAGATTAAGCAAATAGAAATACAACTTTTTTGTCTTACGAATTATGTTCGCATCTTGCTTAGTTTTCGAGAAAATAAAGTCCACTTAATTGCATATCCCTTGCCACACAAGGAATATGGGGAAACGTTTCTTTTGGATTTTTTTTCAACTTTATTACCAATTATCTAACAACAATAATAAATACTGAATAAATATAACATCTAGGCTAATAATACAATTCCAACCCAAACGCTAAAATAATAATAATAATAATATAAGACGTATCAAATGGACAGTGTCCATGAATGAGTCAATTATGCAAATCTTCTATAGAGTTACGAGCTTAGGTCGTGAAACTGCCTTCTGCAGCGGATACCCAGAAATACGCACAGCGAAAAGCAGATCAACACCGAGTCATTCTTAGGAATAATCTTTTACCCCAAGCACGATTAAATACCATCAAGCAAGAGATACAGCTTTCTATGGAACCATAGACTGAAAGCATTAGTGGAACGTCGAATAATGACCAGGTCGAACAGCAACAAATACCGATGTTAGAGAACCCAGATGATGTTAGTGTACAACACGAACCGAACGAGTTTCTGGAGAAAGTATCATTTGAAATGGGAAGAGCTATTGTCGAATTCGAAGGCATGAACCCGCTTGAGAGGCCACCGCTCCCAAAACTGAGGTCATCTAGGAAATTTGCAGTCGCACTTGAATACCTCAACAGAACAGTCCTCCCAAAATACCTAACGGAATCAAGCATATTGGAAGGTTGCCATATGCTAAAGTATTGCGCCGCTGCCGCTACGGTTAGGACACTAGGTGGTAAGATTTCTACAGGGTTTGTCCGGTAATAGGACTCAATAAAATTGAGCTCTAAGTGCAAACACGGAGACAATAAATCACCAACTAAAGAGCAAATAGAGCAATTCTGGGGAAATCAATTTGCTGTGGCAAGTGCGTATAATAACGGTGCAAATTGGATAGAGGAGGAACGGAAGAATCACCAACGTTGTAACCCAATGCAGCTCAGGTAATTTACGACAGAAGAAATAGTCAACGTAATGAAAAAGTTTCACAACTGGAAGGCACCAGGGCCAGACAAGTTACACAGCTTCTGGATAAAGAAACTGTGGTGTTTGCATAGTCACCTAATAACTTTCAGCAATGATATCATTGTGAATCCAAGGAACACCCCGGCATTTTTAACACAAGGGGTAACGCTATTGCTGCCTAAGGATCCCCAGAGAACAGAAGATCCCGCGAAGTACCGGCGTGTATTTGGCAGCGAATATACGCTCACTGTGATGAAAATAACACCATTGCACCACAGCAAAACGGGTGTGCTAACGAGTCAATGGGATGCAAAGAACAGCTAATTATTGACTCTGTTGTGAGCAACCAGGCCTATGCCAGCAAGAGAAATTTATATATCTTGAAAATAATGACAATTTTTTCTAGTAACATATACACCAAAGTCTCAAGATTACCGAGTTGTTAGGCTCCGCAAAATCAATGAAACCTAAACAAAACCTAATCCGGTCCTGCACGTCGATCGGATCAAACGCAAATATATACGATGTGGATAAGTACTCAGTGTAAGCGTTGGCCGCGTTAATAAAACCTTTACACAATACAAAAATGGCACAGTCATACAACATCGGAATTGTCCATATTATTTTAATTTACGGTGAGTGTCCTCGAAGTGCTATCGAGGCTTCGCGAGTGCATACAGATCGCTTTTCGAACTTCTTCGTGATTTCTTTTTTTATTTGGCGAGAAACGAAATTTTTTGTTTATAAAACTGAGGCGAACATGGTTGACTTAGTTCGTCAACTATGCCTACACCGATGCTTGGCTACGTGTATTTGAATCTATCCCAGACAACTTTAAACAATACCTATAAGTGATAGAGCTGTATTTAAAATGTATTTACGATGAACGATGATTACTTTTTCATTTTTTTCTTAGTTGTTGTTTCACCGCACATTAGCATTTCTATTACAAATGTAGTTGTTTCTGAAAAGGAATGCCCCAACTTTCAGGACACCCTGTATATTTGAAAATACCGGTATGGTGGAAGTATAATACTAGAGATTTATAAGGTTGCCATTTCTATTCAGTAAAGATTGTGAGCTTGACCTTGAAGAGCAAATCAAGGTCATGGCGACCTTTTAAATGAGACCCTATGTTTTTGACCCCAGAAACATATAAAATGAGAAATGTTGCATTTAACATAGATATAAGTTTCGGCGATCAAACGGATAGTGCACTATGCAGAAAAATTGTCTAGACCTTGATTTGACCATCAAGGTTATGTTCAGGATCAGTTTTCAGGTCATCACTCATAAATGACCAGGGAAATTAGAAAATATAGCAACCTTCATCAAGATTTAGGTAAACAATTCCTTTTACGGCGACCTTGACAAATACTTTCAAGGTTAAAACAGTTTTTACCCAAAGCCTGGTGTCGCTCTATCTTGTATAGTGCACTATGAAGAGAGGTAGTATCAAAATCATTGTGTCGCTCTTATGAATGAGAAAAGTGTCATTGTGGTAACATACTGTATAATGTTAACGTCATTGATGTTAAGAAGATGATAGTATCTTACCAACTGGCACCCATTTTGGTTGAGTAGGGTCAGCTTCCTCTCTAGCAGCAGCCAAAGCTCTGCGTATCGCCAAAGGAACAGAAATTGATAAGCACATTGGTGGTTCACCAATAGCTGTAACGATTTGTATTGATTAAACACTTCTGAATGATGTGGATGTTTTGAAATATGTTCTTGCAATACCAATGTCTATACAATTTCAACCTACATGGCGGCTTCAGTTGAATTAATATTGGAAATGAGAAATTACACTAGCAGCTAAGCCGCTCAACACTGTATGTGAGAGATTAATCTTTACAGGTTCCATCGATATAGTAGAAGCAAGTGTTTAAAATGACCTCGTCGATGTGATTTCTAATCCAATAGTATTTATTTTTAGTACAAGTCATAATCTTGACAATTAACCGAAAATAAAGAAAAAAAACGATTACTTTTTAGAAAGGTGGGGGACCTTTTTATGAACGGTTCAAGCTAGCAAGCTGAAATTTAAATGAAATGACATCGACTAGTTGACACTTGCCCTAAGTAGGTCTCAAAAAGTGAATATTTTTTCTATTTGACAAAAAAAAAGTTATATTCCCCCAGGATTACCGTCCCATTAGCCTGCTGTCAGTTCCTTCTAAGTTCGCTGAAAGGGTGAGTTATCGTCACCTTGAGAATTTCTCGTGATTCCTCACGTGCAATTCGGCTTTCAGTCTGAGCATTGTACGGAGCTACAGGCAATTAGCCGGTACTGGTATCTTGCTTTTAGATGTATGAAAGGCATTTGACAAGGTGTGGCACATGGGACACTTGTATAAGCTCATTCAAAAGGGTTTTCCATTTTGGCTACTAAAAGTGTTGAAATCTTTTCTAGAAGGAAGGAAGTTTCGGATCAAAATCAACAAAGTGTTGTCAATAACACGTCCCGTAAGAGCAGTCTTGTTCTGGTAACCTGGTTCACGATAGGCTACAGAGTGCGGTGGAGGAAGTATTGGAGTGGGCGGATCAGTGGTTGATCAAAATTAATACTTCGAAAACACAGGCACTAACGCACCTTGGTACGTGTCAAATGAGACCATTCACAGAGATCTTGATATCCCATATCTAAGGGATTTTGTAAAACAACCGGCACAGCGGCGTTATAACCAAGCCGAATCGCACAGCAACCCTGTGTTGAGTGATTCAGTAGACTGCGCAGTCGAGCAAGTTCGCAAACATTCCAGGCCGCGCCTCGCACTGTGATCAAAAGTAAATTGTGAATTTCAGACCAGCCAAAATTATTTCAGTATTCAAAATCAATCAAAATTATTTCTTTCTGGAGTTACAAAATAATTCGAGTAGTCAAAGCAAAAATGCTTAAGCTATTTCAAATGATTTACTTCTTTTCTTTGCTCTATTTCTTCCTTCCTTTCTTTCCTTCTTCCCCTTTTCCCCTTAAACATGTTTGGTATCTGGGTAGTCAGACCTGATAGACTAACAGACTGCCAAGACATTTAACTAAGAACAAAGGTCCACCGGACCGCTCTGACGAACAATGACGAATAGTCGACAAAAAGTTTAATATTGTGAGCATATGCTTACTTAGCAGAAGTTGTTGTACACTTGTTGTGAACTCGTTTTGTAGCAGTAACTGTTAGTTAAAAGTCAGCGTTTTTTTTTTGACATTTCATAGGTTTTTCAATGGGGTTGTCCAAAACGGATGCAGGAAAGTAAACGTATATTAAAATAAGAAAGATTGATGTTCAAATCAAGTTGGGTACTTTATTTTGAAGGTTTATTTATACCATTTATGTATGAAAAATAATATCGCAAATGTTCACCACGACTGGATTTACAGACGTCCACGCGATGGTCGAAATTTTCAATGACAGTTTGCAACATGGTCGGTTCTATGGCATTTATCTCGGCAATGATGTTGTTTTTGAGTTCTTGGAGGGTGGCTGGTTTGTTGACGTAGACTTTGCTTTTCAAATATCCCCATAAAAAGAAGTCCAAGAGAGTCAAATCGCACGATCTTGGTGGCCATGGCACATTTCCTCTGCGCGAAATCACGCGATCACCGAAGAAGGACTGCAATCGATGGATATTGACGTTGGTTGTGTGGCATGTTGCACCGTCTTGTTGGAAATAAACATCGTCCATATCCATTCCTTCAAGTTGCGGCAAAAAATAGTCCTCTATCATCACGTGATATCGCTCAGAATTGACGGTAACGGCGTCCCCGGCCGCATTTTCGAAAAAGTAAGGTCCGATGATGCCTTTTGACCACAATGCACACCACACAGTCACTTTTTGAGGATGCATCGGCTGCTCTTGATACTCACGGGAATTTTGGTTCGCCCAGATGCGTTTTGCTTGTTTACCGTCCCATTCAAAGTGAAATGCGCTTCGTCGCTGAACATGATTTTTGATGAAAAACTGGCATCAATTTGGCGGTGTTCAAGGAGCCAATCTCAGAACGTTCGGCGCGAAAAATGGTCGGCTCGACGCAGCTCTTGCGTCAATTGGATCTTGTAGGCGTGTACATTCAAATCCTTGTGGAGAATGCGGAGCAAACTGGTTCTCGAAATGCCCAATTCTTGGGATCGACGCGTTGTTGATTGTTTCGGATCGTCTCTCACACTCTCCTTCACAACAGCAATATTTTCCGGTGTGCGAACGCTCCTTGGCCGGCCAGAGCCTGGCAGATTTGCCACAGAACCTGCTGCCTCGAATTTACGCACCAGACGACCGATGGTTGTTTTGTTTGGGCGGTTGTTGCGACCGAAATGTTCACGAAGCGCGCGAAACGTGTTTTTTATTTTTGCACCATTTTTGTAGTGCTCTTGAATAACTTTAATGCAGTCTTCAATCGAATACGACTCCATAGCGATCAATAGTAAACATTCAACTAACAAAATGACATGTCGGTGACGGAAAACAAAGATGGCGTCTATGTCAAATTGACGTTTAATTTCCGGCGTCCCTATTGGACAACCCTTTATAAGCTGTTGTATACTTGTTGTGAACTCATTTTGTGGCTGTTCGTATTGCTTAAACGTCAGCGAACAGCGATCATAGCGAGCAAACGTCGAATGAACTCATTTGCATACTAAAAACTACCTAGTCTGTGAGATGACATTTCGTCGCTTCTATTTGTCGTTTCTTTAGGTCTTTTACTAATAGCCGTGCAATTTTGTATTGAAAATATGAAATATATAGCGGATAGATAAGCGCGTCATAAAATGTTGATTTGGAACGGGAAGCGGATAAATCATAAGTACGGAACACTCTGTATGTTCCAGGATTGCACCCAGCCGCCATTTTAAGATTCCAAACTGCCACTTCTACACTAAAAAATAATCATCATGGATTCATTTCATTATGCTTAATGTCAGCTTGCTAACCTGGCTCGTTGAGAAATAAGAGGGACGACCTTTTTGGAAAGCACTAGTCTAATATTCGGTAGACATGGAAACACCTCGTACTTTTATACTCAAGATAAGTCAGTTGGACATAATTTACCTCTATGTAAAAGTGCTTCGTTTGTTCGTTAAAGAACGTGTTTTCTTTTCAAAATACATTTTTAAGAATTTGAATGAAATTTGGAACACATATATGTGAAAAACTCCAAAGAGTTCGAAAAGGATGGAACGCAGAATTTTTGGCAACTTTCCCGACGACCTTGAATTTTTCTGATTTAGTAGGTCTTTTTATTTACTTATTTTTTTGCATCCTATAAAAACAGGCCTTTCGGATAGTTATCGAGAAAAAATGAGCTGTACCATGAGGTTCCCAAGCGTCTTATTAATTCTTTAAGTGTAGTTAGGGAAAAATAAACAAGTATGATATTACTTGTTACAATTTTATTTAATGCAGGCAATACTGTGAATCTTTCATAAAAGGTGTTCAATATGACTACCATTTTCGTACCTGTACATAACAATATACCGCAAAAAAGGAATATCTTTTAGAAATCAGCGCTGAAAATCATTTTTTTCTCAAAAACTATACGAGAACTAATACTAATGAGCGACAAAAAGTTAAGTAAGAAAATCAGAGTCTGGGAGAGGGAAAAAACCTGCTATAATTTACGTATTGGCGGGGGGGTTTTCACCACTCTCAAACCTTTTTGAGTTTTTATAAAGGTCAAATATTAGGACGTCTAGAAAAAAACGTGTTCCAAATTTCATGCAAATCAGAGTATCGGTTCCAAAAATATCTGAAAAAATGTGTATTAAAAAGAACTTTGACGCCCTCTAACGGACAAACGAAGCACTTTTGCATAGAGATAAATCATGTCCGATCGATTTATTTTGAGTCTAAAAATAAGTGTTACTGAAAACTTAGACATCCAGAATATCAGCATGAGACCTTATAGATTCATCTCTTTGCTTACCTTTGGCCTTCAGAATCCCGACAGGATTTGGATTTTTTTTCGGAAATTTAATCCTATAGTCTACTGGAATATCCATCATACCCGGAACTTTATAATTCCAAGTTCTGTTTGTCGTTAATCGACCATCGGAGTCGAAAACACATTGTTCTATAGTATAAAATCCAATTCCTGTAAATACATATGAATGGTATTGTTATACAGGGTGTTTCAGTTTATTGTTCCATAACTTTAAGATTCGATAGAACTTTTAAAATTAATGCATGAAGTCTATATAAACATGGGTCGAAAAATGCGTGGCTTCTGAAATACAGGGTGTTTAAATTTACTTTCTAAAATAGTTTTTTTAAAATATTTCGAACAATATTTGATGTATATAACAGCGAAAATTGGTATACAAGGGTTTTTTGGTACGACAAAACAAACCATGGGCATAGTTTTACTGTAGCCTCTAGAGGGCGCTCTCTACTGTACCTGTAGTGTATTAAAATGAGCGAAAAAATTTTCTTAGTGCAATTTTTTGCTTTTTAAATAAAAAAACTGATTCTTCGCACTTTTCAACATAAAAAAGCTCTCCTGTGAATTTTCGTTATAGTTAGTTGTTTTTCAGATATTTCGATTTTTAAGGTTCGATGAATTTTTAATTATTTATGATAAAATAAAGTTAAAAAGTCAGTATCTGGATAATTTTTAGAAGTAGGCTGTGTGTGCAAATATTTTTGAAATTGAAAGCAGAATAAGGTTAAACGTCAATTAGTTGACAGTTAGTTTTGTTGTCTGTTGAAACCTGAAACGTTTTTTTGCAATTGTGAATGCACGAAATTTAGTTTCTTTTACCTGTTTTTTTTTTGTAAGTTTTATAAAAATTCCATTTTTATTCTCCAATCAAGAGTTAGCGAATATTCATTTTGTGTATGGCTTTGTAAATGGAAACGTAGCAGAAGCAGCCAGAGAATACGCACTAAGATTTCCAAACAGACGACATCCAACTCGCTCAGTATTTGTAAGAGTGCATCGCCAAATAGTTGAAAATGGTTTTGGAAATCTCCAAAGGGATCAAAACAAATGTTCGTCTGCGCAGATTTACCCGTATGATTCTGCGTGAGTTTGATAGAGATCCGACCACAAGTGTTACGAGAGTTTCTGGTGCCTTGGGAATTTCAGCAAGCCATGTTCACCGTGTTCTTAGAAATGCCCATAGACGTCCTTACCATTTGCAACATGTGCAAGGACTACAGCCAAGGGGACGGAGAACGAGGAATCACATTTTGTCAGTGGATTCTTGATAGAAATGATAATAATAGGGAGTTTTTAAGTAACGTTTTATGGACCGATGAGTCATGCTTCACTAGACGTGGGGTGGTAAATTTTCATAATCAACATATTTGGTCGCATGAAAATCCGCATTCAGTTCGGGAAAGAAATTTTCAGCATGAATTTAGTGTGAACGTGTGGATTGCTATCTACCGTAATCGACTATTTGGACCCTACCGTTTGAATGCAAGGTTAAATGCTGCGACCTTCTTGGAATTTTTAAAGGCTGAACATGCAAATATGTGGGATGATGTTATGTTAGATTTAAGAAGTTTAGTTAGAAACTGGCTGGACAAAAATTATCCAGAACGATGGATCGGCCGTGGAGGACCAGTCCCCTGACCTAAATCCAGTAGATTTCTTTGTGTGGGGATTTCTAAAAGAAAAAGTGTACCAGACTCCCGTAACCACAAGAGGTATGCTAATAGACAAAATCAGGAATGCATGTGATGAAATAAGGCCTTATTTGAATAATGCTATACCACGTTCGATCATTCGTAGATGTGAATTGTGTATTGAACAATTGGGTTTACATTTCGAGCAACTACTTTAGATTTTGTATGTTTGTCCTAGCTATCCAATAGCATTTTAGTTGTAAACAATTAATTTAATTTGTTAAAAATAATATTGGAAAATTAAACAAATTAATATTCTGTTTTTTTGTGTTTATTTGGAGTTAGGAATTATTGCTGTGTTTAAAAACACAATCTAAACGATCATCTCAATTACTTGTAATGCCCAAATCGAAAATGTAAAGAAAATATTATTTTCTCATAAATAACTAAAAATGCATCGAACCTTAAAAATCGAAATATCTCAAAAACGGCTAACTATAAACGAAAACTTTATTATGCAGAAAAGTGCGAAGAATCAGTTTTTTTATTCAAAAAGTAAAAAATTGTAGTATGAAAAATTTTTCGGTCATTTTAATACACATAGGTACAGTAGAGAGCGCATCTAGCGGCTACAGTAAAAATATGCCCATGGTTCGTTTTGTCGTACCAAAAAACCCTTGAATACCAATTTTCACTGTTATACATCAAATATTGTTCGAAATATTTAAAAAAAACTATTTTAAAAAGTAAATTTAAACACCCTGTATTTCGGAAGCCACGCATTTTTCGACCCATGTTTATATAGACTTTATGCATTAATTTTAAAAGTTCTATCGAATCTTAAAGTTATGCAACAATAAACTGAAACATCCTGTATAGGGCATTTCACGTGAAGAGGACACCGAAAATAGTGACGTTTTAAAATTTGCTCATATTAGGCGTGTTTGTACAGGGTGGCCAACTAAGAATGCTACGTACTCTATCTGGAAACCTATCCACCCATAAGAAACGCCCTGTGTCTTCGAAATGGGTACGCCGATTTTAACAAACTTGGGTTAGTTTCACATGTGGCCGCTAGAGGGCTTTTTTCGACATTCCATCAGAAATTGTTAATTTTCTCAAAAAATTAAATGCATTGATATGATTTGTTTTTTTTTATTTAAATGATGTCTAAACAAACTTGCGAAAACCCATCTCGATATCTTGCTTCTAACCTAAAATTTAGGCCAAAGAAAATTTTACGCAAAAATCCCTTAAATTTTTATTTTTTTCAAGTAATTTTTCTGGAATTTCCTTTTAATATAAAGCTGTGACCCTAAAAAGGACTTATTAAAAACAAAAAGGTTTTTAATGCCCCGTAAATGCTCTATGCATCCCTGAAGCGTCCCAGAGAAGACAAATCTGCAGTTTCAATTTCGGCTCTCGGTATGTTAGGTATTATATTACAAATCCGGCATTACATATATTTTCTGGTTGTAGGTTGAGTCTGAAATACGATGTCCTTTAAACGTCCCGTTAAATTAAAATTAAGGCAAGTTAAGTCTGTGATCGCGAAGGTAATGAGAACAGAGTTACTCTTTCAATCCAACTGGAAAAACAAGTTTTGCCGTATTTCCAGTGGCACATCTTCCAACAAAAACGGAAATTGATTGCCCAAAAAGTCAAGAAAGACATTGCCATTTAGGGATTGCTCAAAGAAATACGGCCTTCGAAAAAAGCATTTGTCAAGCACAAAAGTTGCTCAGCACATTTATAAAATATTGGCTTATACAGGGTCTCGCAATTTTGACCTACATATCAAAGTTGCTATTTTTTAAATGAGTGCCTCAAATTTTATTACATATTTGGATAAACCAACTCAAAAGAAGAAGATTGATATAACATACTATGGGGTTTTGGTAATTAGCTACTGAGATATAAGGTGTTTTGTCTAGAAAACCCCCCACTTCGGCAATCCCTCAGTCCGCCATTTGGAGTGCTGAATTTTGCATCCAAAAAAACTTACACACCTCAGCTTCTATTTTATTTGTTACTTTTTAGAATTTTCAGTTTTTGCTCATACAGGGTGGTCAAAAACGCGAATTGAACCTTTTCTCAAAAATTTGTGCAAGTTTGGATTTAATTTTTTTATAACCTTTTTTTTTGTATAACAGACCAAAATTGAGGAAAAAAATCACATCATCCATGGAAACAAAAGACAAACTGTGGGTAAGTTCCATATTGCTACTAAGAGCACATATTTGACGTGAAAACTAATAACAATCAGAACAGTATAAATCAGCTTCAAGCTTAATAGAGAAAAACAACTATAACAATAACATAAACAAACAACTATCACTACTCAAGACCTAATCTACAAAAACTGCTCGAAAACATATCCGCCATGTTGAATATAGTGGATACCAAATAAAACCCGATGCACGTCATCGATCTGGAGCTGTGCGCTGTTGCCAGAATTTGCACATTTTCTTTTAAGCAAATAAATTTAATAAAATAAATTATTTATATGTACCTACCATTTACTATAATACCATTATATTAAAAATAAAGAAACTTGTTGTAAAATTAAATTCCTTTCTGAATATAAACACCTGATTTGGAAGGTATTCAAAAACACAAAATATTTAAAGAACATAAATTGTTTTCTCGTATTTTAATTAATTTGATTATTTATTTATGATATAGGAACTACAACACTTTTCCAATTCACATCAAAGAGAAGAAAGAACTCGGGTAATGTTACACAATACCGGCAACTAGCGGCAAGGAGTACTCTTTATCGAGCCTGATATTAACCGCATGGTATGGTTCAGTTGTATATCAATTCCGGAGTTTGATTACATTATACAGAATATATTTTGATGTTTTAACTATCCTGAATCACTGGAATCAGTAGAGTCATCGTTAACATAGATAATAATGGGAAGAATTTCCTGTAAGGGTAAACTCACCTCCCTTACAGCAGTTAAAGGCAAAAGTGGGCCATTATTATCCCTTTCCCGTTCGAAGTATTCTAATAAGCATGATATGAGCTCTTTACACCGACTGTTAAGTTTTTTTGGAATTTTGGATACTTTACACCACTTCACAGTAACTGTTGTTCTGAAAAGAACAATTTTTAATTGGCAAGGCAACGATTCAAAGCTCAAATAGCGCAAAACTCACAAACTAAACAATAAAGAACTAATAGTACGACAAAAGGACAATGGCAACTGATGTCAACAAACGAGAAGTGGCAACCTCACATTTCTCTGCACGGCACTACCAACCGAATCGAGACGGGGAAATTTAAACTTCAAGTAGAAATGTCACATTGAATGTAGTCAACTGTTGGTAACCATGATTTTTATGAAAGACATCACCTATGACGTGCATCGGATTTTATTTGGTATCCACTATACACAGCCGTAGTCTTTGGATAAATGACCGTTGCACATCCCTCAGCATGTGTTCCCTTATGTTCAGAAAAGCATCCTCAATGCTTTCCTTCATATTTTCTGGGGTAACCTCTTGCTTAACGTATCCCCATAGAAAGGAGTCCATCGGTGTCATATCTGGTG